TCAATGCCTAGTTGTGGCCAAGGCTTGTATAGTACTTTTTCTAAAACAATGCGCGGAAATCAAAAACACAATTTTAGTTTTTAAGTTCAATGACGAATAACGTACAATAATATTTTTTTACGCGCCATAATGTTTCTTGCTTTTTTTTTTCAATAAACAGCTTTCTATTTGCAAGCCAGTTTGAAATTTAAATAAAACCCTTTATTAGTTTCCTCCTTGGTAGCCATGATTTGAAGTAAAAGGTCATTCCATTTTTAAATTACAGGACAGATATGAGTTTACATAGTAATTTATCTGGTCGCAAAACACGACAGATATGGATTTTCATACAACTTTTTCCAGCCGCTGCCCGCATGTATCTGGCCAGTACGGCAATTTTGATTTATCTCGAAGAAGATTGTCAAAATAATGCTCACATTTCCAAGCATGTTTGAGAAAATAATATTTAGTGATATTTTTGACTAGCCTATGTTTTTTTTTATACCACGAAGGTACACAGCTTGTATGATGGTAAACGGTCACTGTAGCCTATGGACGCCTACAATACTTTTTTAATGGGTGATAATGGAATGGTAACCCCGCTTGCACTATCGGTATACGCTGACGGGGCACCAGTGAGGGATGATAGGTGACTATGATAGGTGATAGAATCCATTAGAATACCATAAACCACGATAGTTTCCAGATGGAACCGCGTGGAGGTCGACCCGATAGGGTGTATTGATAATAACGGGGAAAGTAGACTCCGATAGTTACAATCATTTCCCCCCGCCTGCACTTACGTTACGTGCGCGTTGCTGACCCTGAAAGGTAGGATATGGCGTAAATTTACTAGGTACAGAGGAATAACACCTGAGTCCTCAGGAACGGCAACGCATGGGGGTATCATGGGCGAAACAGTATACTCTGTTATGTCCATGGTACTGCTGCTCATGTCTATAGGAGACGGTTACCACTTTACATCTGGTGGGCCGTTAGCTTGTTTGCTATTCTAAGTAGTATAAAAAAAACCCTGAGGAAACAATATACCCTTTTTGAAGATAGGGAAAACCTCAGCAGAGTGTTTATGTATATTGCTCACAGACCCTAAAATAAAAAGTAAAAAAAATACAAAAATATCGATATCAGAACTGCACATCACTAGGAGCCCAGAGTTCAAATGGCGTTGCAAAATCATATTGTGCATCGGGTATTACGCGACGTTTGACGCGTGCTACAGACACTAACCCAATTTGAGATCAAGAAGTACTGTTTAGGTACTATTAGATTAATCTTTAGCTTCATGTTGTCCTAGTACATTATGTATAATGAGGTTCCTTTTTTTTAATAGAAACCTGGTTCACTAGTGGGATGGAAAGGATAGAATTGTCAGTAATGGGCTGGTAGTCAACATTGCTAGCAATAAACCCTACCAGATCGACCTCCACGCGGTTTCTACCGTGGTTGCTGAATAAGAGCAACTTGACTTGCTTTATCCTTATGTATCATTCATTACTGGTTACCTTATATATATTGATAGCGCAAACGGGATTATGGGGGAAAAGGGATTGTTAGTAATGGGGACTAGCGACCCCATTGCCCTACCAGGTTGACCTACACGCGATTCCCCTGAAAACTTTTTTGAATAATTGTTTATGAATTCGTTACTATGGGCCAACTGACTTGCTTTCATCTTGACTTATCATGTCTCCCTGGTACCCTGCCAGTGTATACCGATATCGCAAGCGGTACCACATTATCCCACAGGCGGGATAATTATTTAATTTTCACATATTAAAAAAAGTTACGTGGAAGAAAAAAAAGCGTAGAATCTAAGAAAGTTGAAATCTTGGATCGTTTTTTTTTATTATATATTACTTAGTAATGGCAAACAAGCTGACGGCCCACCTGATGATGTTAAGTGGTAACCATCGCCTATAGACATTAGCAGTACCATGGACATAACAGAGTATACTGTTTCGCCCATGATACCCCCCATGCGTTGCCATTCCTGAAGACTCAGGTGTTATTCCTCTGTACCCAGTAAATTCACGCCATATCTCACCCTTCAAACCGAAACACAGCCATGCAAACACAACTACTTCACGGTTGAAACACGAATGGGACAGAGGTATTCAAGCAATCGACTTTTGTACAAAGTCTCCCTCTGGTAGAAATATTTATAGACATATAATAGAACGATATCAGATAATTATTTACTAAATTAAAATTGATATAAAAATCTTATGATTGTTCTGATAAACGCTCATTCCATTTTCCTACGCCACTACACGTAAATGAGCTGTCATTTTCACGCGCGCTCGAAGTCGAGTGGCCGCCATGTTTAATTTTCAAATATCGAATTGGCCGTCACATTTCGTTTACTTCTGTCGTGGGATAGATTTTTAATATTTTTTACATAAATTTAGAACTTATTTTTGATTAAAATAAATATTAATAAATTTGTTAAAAATTTTAAAAAAGTTGGATTGGTTGTGATCAATCTTGCCACTTTTACAATAACAAATTGTTATGTTATTAAGAGTCGACCCTACCCTTATACTGATAAAATAAAAAAAAATGAATCTATGGAACCATCTAGAAGTATCAACACTGAAAAACAAATTTCATAGCGTTATGCTATTAAGAAAATGCTATTATAAAAAACCGATAACTGAAAAAATTCAAGAAATTCTATCAAGACCTCACTCACATCACAAACATGTATGTAAAATTAGCGGTTTCAATGAACTGTTTGCATAGATTTACATACAAACTTTGTTTATAGAAGTGATCTGGGTCTTGTCAATTCCTACCTATTAACCAATTAAAAACAAACATAAGTTTATTGAAATATGGCAACGTCACTATTTCCTACAATTATTGAAAAAATAAAAAATTTTTGACAGCTTATTTCAAAATATCTCTATAAAATTCCAGACAAATTATCTTTTTGAAGACTAGGCAGCATGGTCTCCGACCTTAGCCTGTTCCAAACGGAACAAACGTACTAAAAAAAAAAAAAAAAATCAAAATATCTCTGTTAGCGAACTAAAATATTAGTCATACAATTAATTCATTCAATGCACTCTTATTAAACTATCATTAAAAATTTAGTTTTAATGGCAAAAATGTAATTAAAAATTCCGAAGTAAAATATGGAATTGGTGTTAAGTATTTAGTGGTACATTTATATGTAACATATTTTGTGATTTAACGTTTTAGTTAGAATTTACGTTAAGATTACGCATTTTTTTATGCAACTTAGAATGGCAAGCAAGCTGACGGCCCACCTGATGGAAAGTGGTAATCGTCGCCTATACACATGAGCAGTTTCGCCCATGATACTTCCTATGCGTTGCCATTCCTGTAGACTCGGGTGTTATTCCTCTGTACCCTGTAAATTCACTGCCATATCCCACCTTTTAAACCGAAACACAGCCATGCAAACACAATGCTTCACGGTAGAAACACATTAGTTGTTGACGATCTTCCTGCCGAGGCTTTTTCTAAAGACTACAGCATGGGGTTCTTCAAAAAAGAATGTATTAAGGTTTTTTAAAGGTCAGCAACGCGCACTTGATAGACCTGGCGTCCATTGGCTACGATAACCCTATATACCATCAGACGAGCCGTATTCGATTGCTTGGGTACCTCTGTCCCATTCGTGTTTCAACCGTGAAGCAGTTGTATTTGCATGGCTGCGTTTCGGTTTAAAGGGTGGGATATGGCGTGAATTTACTGGGTACAGAGGAATAACACCCGAGTCCTCAGGAATGGCAACGCATAGGAGGTATCATGGGCGAAACAGTATACCCTGTTATGTGCACGGTACTGCTCATGTCTATAGGCGACGGTTACCACTTTCCATCAGGTGGGCCGTCAGCTTGTTTGCCATTCTAAGTTGTATAAAAAAATATATATATACATACAAAATATCAACTTTGCCGCGTCAAAAGTGACTGTTTTTGTCTATTTTAATCTAAGAAAGACTTCTTTTTTTATCTAAATAAAATTTTTCGATATTGAAAAGACATATACAATATTTAAAGTACCAGGCGGACAGAAACGCGCGAAATTGTTATCTGTTCACGGTCCGTTGAGCATGCGGGCGCTGGGGATGGTACGGGGAAATTATAAAATGACCGCCAACGCGACTCGCCACTTTGTGCTGTGTATACCAGGCATGTTATTAATTTTGTACACACGTATAAATAAAATATTATATATTTATTGTTTTATTGACGTGCATTCTACGCTGGTGAGATTTCCGTTAGGGATACGAGTATCATTTTCATCTTCCTACCCTTATCCCAATCATTTAGGGTCGGCGTAATATGATTTTATCCATATTACAAAAGGATTTGGCTTTTAGTTTTACGACCGGCCACCTGCCTGACGTCAACCCTCTTTGAGAATGAATTTGTTGGTGGTGTCCGCCACCTATGGTAAGCTGACGGTCCACCTGATGGAAAGTGATAACCGTCGCCTATAGACATGAGCAGTACTATGGACATAACAGAGTATACTGTTTCGCCCATGATACCCCCCATGCGTTGCCATTCCTGAGGACTAGGATGTTATTCCTCTGTACCCTGTAAATTCACGCCATATCCCACCCTTCAAACCGAAACACAGCCATGCAAACACAACTGCTTCACGGTAGAAACACGAATGGGACAGAGGTACTCAAGCAATCGACTTTTGTACGAGTACAAAGTCTCCCTCTGATAGATATATATCTGGTATATAGATTATCATAATTTTAGCCATTATCCGTTCACTGCTGGCTATATGGCTATCTATCGTGAACCAGGCTGCCATAAAGAACGGTCCTGAGCCACCTGCATCCATTGCAATGCATTTAAGGTCATCACTACATCTAGTGGAAGGTCATCCTACACTGCGTTTGCTTGTACAGGATCGCCACTTAAGAATCTTTTTTCTCCAACAGTTGCTTGTTCTTCGAGCTATGTGACCATATAAATAAATAATTAAATATAATTGTTCCATATCCCCAGTACCGATTATACCGGAGTTCCTCTACGATATCCGTCACCCCGACGCGCCGCTGTCCGTCTCGCTGGAGGACATCACGACGACACCGCCCCCACCGACGCCATACTGCCCCTGCCTGCAAGTTAACACTACGCTGTCAGTCGAAAACGTCACCCAGGGTGAGTCTTTTATATCATATATATATATATATATATATATATATATATATATATATATATATATATATATATATATATATAATAACTTTAGAAAAAATAAAGAAAGTTTTAAAAAAGAGAACCCTGTAAAATGTAGAATTAGTCTAGATTTTTACTCGTAAATGTATGATAATAAATATACATCAATCTGTATGTATAGTTTCAGATAAAAAAAACTGACTGTTTTATGCGGTAATAAACATAAAATAAATATGTCCAAATTGAAAAGACTTTTTTTGAAGTCACTTGACAAAATAAAATATTTATAAAGTTATAAAAATAATTATAATATGTCTCTGTTCAAATTATCAATATCGATAGATATCATAAAAGACCTAACTGCCTTATTGTGCAAAATTTCTAAAATGAATGAACTAGTTGCATAGATTATAACGAACTTTTTTTTTTTAATCGAAGTGACGCATTCCTGGTTGGAATAAAAGGAATGTGGTAAAATGGAGACTTTGTATTGAAATTAAATACCGTTTGCAGTGAACATAACCGCTGAGAAGGAGTATCGACATAAGGAGTTGATACAAGAGACTGTGGCTGTGGGCGTGATGTTCGCGAGCAAGGCGATCGTGCAGCTGCTCGCGAACCCCTTCGTCGGACCGCTCACTCACAAGTATGTTCATATCTCTTACTATGTTCTGTGATCCTGGTACATCACTAACTTCTAATTTGCTTATTGCTTGCTCAGGTCCTCGGATTCGATTCTCTGTCGGGGCAATTTTGGAATATAATACTGAATTGGCTTGGATCCTTGATCTTGGATCCAGAAGATCATTACCTAACTGCTCACGAAATAGGGTATTCTATCAAATTTTTTTATCGAAAATTAAGTTCACGACAGTTCAAATCGGCCGTTATCCACTACTAAATTTACCCAAGACCTTACCCATTGAAGAGGGTTTGCCAGTAGTTGCCACGCTTGGCAGGCAGGTAGGCAACTGCAGCTAGGTTTTAATCATATTTTAAGGAAAACGCTGCTGCCCATCCTTCTACCAGTAAGCTCCCTTAGTCGTACCCGGACCATACTGCAACGCCCGCCCCGACTTTGCATGGGTGTGTTAATAAAGAAAATGAGAGCAAATCTGACCTTCTTGGACCAGGGGGAAGGGATTGTTAGTAATGGGGTCAAAAAGCCCCATTACTAGCAATACACCCGGCAGGTATCAGGTATCTCCACGTGGTTCCCCCTGGAAACCATCATGGCTTCTAATTGAATTCGTCAGGATGGTTTTTTTTTTTTTTTTTTTCTGAATGTGTTTGCTGTTGGCCGTGTGTGGCCTTTACAGCTTCACCGGACGCGAATGCAGGGGCGAGTGCTGATGGCACTCCAAGCCCGCGAGAGGGGAGCGACAGAGGTGTCGACTCTTTCTTATGGACTGCGGTGTGTGTGTGCGCCTAAGGGCGCCAGAGTGGCTCGGCCTCGGCTTAGGCCACCGCACTTCGACCCCCGTCGAGGGACGGCGAAGGGTCGGTACGTCTGGGTGGGTGAGATTGCGACGCGGTTGTTATGCGCTCGGGCGCAAACCTGATCGCGCGCGGACCGTGTGTCGCGAGGGTTCTTCGCCCCCGCCGGCGGGGGCGGTGTGTGCGATGTGTGGGTGTGTTTGTAGGGGCTCTTGTCGAGGGTTCCGCGGTAGGTAGGGAGGGAGACGCGTTTGCCGTCGTAGTTGGATCATCGGGGTCCAAGAGTGCGTGCCTCGGGCGACGACGTTTTGGAGCGACGTTCTCTATGGGGGGTTTGTATTTGACCGCTCTTACTATGAGCGGATTTGAATGGGACTCGGCTGAGGCAAAGTAGCGTCGAGACGCTTGCTTCATAAATTGCCTTATAGTGGGTATTTTGAGGTCGCGGTGTAGATCCACGTTGGGCACGTACCACGGGGCGCCCGTGGCCCGTCGCAGAAATTTATTTTGCACCACCTGAAGGGGGTGAAGTAATGAAGGAAGGGCGTGGGCGAAGACGACACTAGCGTACGTCATCACCGGTCTTATACATGCTTTATAGAGCGTCAGCTTTGCGTTAAGCGACAATTGGCTGCGCTTGTTAATAAAGGGATGGAGGCGTCCCAGTATAAAATTGGCCAGGCCTCGGACGCGCTTAAGATGAGATGCGAAACTCAACTTGGAATCTAGTGTCACGCCTAGGTATTTGGCTTCGTTCGTCCAGGGGACGGGCGTGCCAAACAGCTGAATAGAGGCGGGAAGGGATGGTTTTCTTTTGGCCGTGAAAAGCACGGCGGCGCTTTTATCTGGGTTGACTTCGATGCGCCATTTTCTGAACCAGTAGGCCAGCTCGTCCACCGCCCGTTGAAGCCTGTTGGCTGCACAGGCGGCCGACGTGCTGTCCACATATAGGGCTGTATCATCAGCAAAGAGGGCGATTTGCACTCGGGGCTGACGCGGGATGTCGTTGGTGTACAACGAGAAGAGGGTGGGGGAGAGGACAGCGCCTTGAGGGACGCCGGCTCTAATCGGTCGTGCGCTGGAACGCACTCCATTGACGCGATAGCGATATGACCTATTGGACAAGAAGGCTCGTATGATGTGCACGAGCCTGTCTGGCACTCCCATCTTGTGCAGTTTGAAAATCAAGCCGCTGTGCCAGACTTTGTCAAAGGCCTTTGCTACGTCGAGAAACAGGGCACATGTGACCCCGTTGGATTTCAGGTGTCGGGCGTTGAGGACGTGTTCTACTACACGATGTACTTGATGAACAGCTGAGTGCTTGGCTCTAAAGCCGAACTGCTCATCGATCAGGATGCCTTTGGACTGTAGCCAGTCTTTCAGGCGTGCGAGTATTAGCTTCTCATACAGCTTCCCCAGCGAGCTGAGGAGACTGATGGGGCGAAAACTGGTGGGAAGGGACTTATCTTTCCCAGGTTTGGGAAAGCCTACGACATCGGCTTCTTTCCAAGCATCTGGAAAGATGGCATTGGTAATTGCCGCATTGAAGATCGCTACTAGAAGTAGCAGAATGGTTTCTGGCAGACTCTTAAGGAGTCTGTTAGAGATACCGTCGGCACCGGGTGCCTTTCGGTTGGGGGTTCCTTTGATGAGTGTTCGCACCTCATCCAGTGTAACGGGGGGAGTGACTCTACTGGAGGGATCGACAGGATTCGCTCCACCTCGGATTCTACCTTCTCTAGATGATCATCGGGCACCGGAAGGGTACTCGGCATGCATTGGGCCTCTAGGCTGTCTGCTAGGCATTCAGCCTTTTCTTCATCAAATAAGGCCGGACTGTTGTTTGTTCGGACTAAGGGCGGAAGGTCGGAGTAACACTGGTCTGTTTTGAGGGTTTTGGCTACTCGCCAGTACGCGGTATGGCAGGGGGTGAGTTCTTTGGTGAACTTATCCCATCTGTCTCGCCGAAGTTCCGCTATGCGACTCTTTACTTCGCGCTGTAAATCTCGCAGGCGGGTTCGGTTCTCTTCTGAGGGATAGCGGTCATACGCTCGTGTGGCTGCATTCTTAGTGCGCAGCAGAGCCCTTACATCATCAGGCAGGTTCCATCTACGGTCGCCCGTATCCGGAACCTCCCTGGAGCAGTCCTTGACTGCCGACTGCAGGTGCTCTGTTAGCGCGTCAATGGCTGTAGTCGTCTCCTCGATAGATTCGACTTCGTCCGGGATGCGGTCCAGTACCGGAGAGTTAGTCGACTCGAGGACTTTCTCGAGCCGGCTCCAGTCCGTGACCGTTTTAAATTGAGGCGCCCCGTCTGCAGGTGGGCCTAGCGAGAATGTGACGGGGCGGTGGTCGGAGATGAGTTCGGCATGGACCTCCATAGAACTCAGCCTTAAGGCTACGTTCTTTAGTAGGGCCATGTCGAGGATGGAGGGCTGATGAGCAGTGTTTGCCGGATAGTGCGTGAAGTGCACTGGGGGAAGGATGTCGAAACCCATGGAGAGCGAAAGGCGTTCCAGGGTGAGACCGTTTGGGTTCGGATAAGCACAGCTCCAAAGGCTGTGCTTGCAATTTAGATCTCCGGCAATAATTACCGAATCCCCCAGGTCCATGAGAGCTTGGAGGTCGGCCCGGAGTAGCTTTTTGGAGGGAGAGAGATATGCCGATGCTATATAGATCGGTCGGTGGTCTGTCATCGCGAGGAGGCATATCGAGGCTTCCATGTTTACGAGCGGAGGCGTGTCGATCGGAATGCACTGAAGGGACCTTCGGTAATAAATTAACGTACCGCCGCCGCGACTGATGCGGTCATTGCGTACGATATTGTAGTTTGCGATTCTTGGACCGCGTGTTGAAGGCTTGAGGAAGGTCTCCTGTAGTAGGAGAACGTCCACCTGATGGACGGTGAGAAACTCACGGACTTCGTCTCTTTGCCCTTGTAGTCCGTTAGCGTTGAAAAACGCTAACTTAACGGACCGAGGTTTGCATCTTTTCGCCCTTAGATCCATAATTAATTGTTAAAATTGAGGATGGCGACTAGTACGCCGATGTGCTCGCAGACGGCTGCGAGTCTTTCTTGTGGGTCGTTGACTGACCTTAATTTGGAGGCCAGGGCCGTAATCTCGCCAGCGTCGATGGAGCTGGCGAGTTTCGCTACCAGTGCGAAGTCGGCTGCGAAGCTTGAGCCTATGTTCGTTCCAGTTTGCGGGGCGGGGCGCGGAGGAGCGGGCGATGCCACAATCTTGGCAAGCGTGGGAGCGGTTGCAGATGGCATGGTGGGTGAGGGGGTCGCCTTGACGACCGGAGGTCGCACCCAAGCATTTTTTGGCGGGGGAGGTGGTGCAGCTGAGGGCTGCGGGATAGTAGGGGGCGCGGGGCGTGCTGCGCGGGGTGCCTGAGCCTTTGTGGCTTTTGCGGAGGCCTTGTTTTGGCCGGGACGGGGAGCGCGGGGACATCCGCGGTAGTTAGCTGTGTGGCCCTGTGTGCCACAGAGTACACAGCTAGGTGGGGTCGGGGTGCCACTCACGCGAGTGCATTGCTTGGTGCCGTGGTCTCCCAGGCACTTGACGCAACGTTCGCGCGCGTAGCAGTTTCGGGCGGAGTGCCCATAATTTTGGCAGCGGTGGCACTGCCCGGGGTAGGTCCGCTTATTTGGCGGTTCTACTGATAGGCCTGAGATCAGGCAGACACTTCGGATGTTGAAGATAGATTTCCCCTCTGGGGAGAGATCTAGTACCACTAGTACCATGTCTAGTGGCGTTTTGGCCCTGCTGCGGTACATCCTGTGTACCTCGTGGACGGGGTAGTTTTGTGAGCGGATATCTGCGAGGATGTCCTGGCAGTCCAGCTCCTTAGGGACGCCGCGTATTACTACGCGCAGTCGTTTCTCCTCCTCGAGGGCATAAGTGTGGTAACCCACACTGTTTGTCCTGAGGAAGGAAGTTAACTGGCGATGATCCGCCGATGTGGGAACCACTACTCTGATTCCTAGTGAGGTTACCCTTGCATGGGTAAAGGATATGCGCTTTTCCTTCAGCGCAGCTGACACCCTGTTCCAGGCTGTCTTGTCCTGGATGATTATAGGAGGAGGAGGCCTCACTTTCCCCGCGTGATCGCGGTCGGTTTTATCGGCGTTAGCCGGAACGGGTGCGCCATCGTTGGCACGTTGGGTTTTAGGCGGGGGAAGATCGCGCGCCCGCTTCGCGCGTTTGGTGCGCTTGGCACCCACAATTTGAAATTCCTCTTCCGAGGAGGAGGCAGTGTCGGAGGAGTCGCCTGTTTCGGCGACGACGTTGGGAGCGTCTAGCTCCATTTCCGTTTCAGAGGAGGGGCGGTTGGGAGCAACCTCCTGAGGGGACATCGGCTCCGGGGTACTCACTAGGTGGTCCCCGGGGGAAGGTGGGTTTGAGGACAGCTCGTCGTTGGCCTCCTGAAGGGAGGCCGCCGGCGAGGCAGGGGCGTCGTCATGTATCACATGTGCGCCCCTGCGCTCATCGAAAAATGCCTTTAAGAGGCCAGGACATTTGGCCTTTAAAAAGGCCACGAATTGTGGAATGTCATCCTGGGACAGCGACATGTTGTCCCAGGAAACACTCCTCTTATAAATTAGCAATGCACCCGACTCTTAAGTCGGGTGCCAATACCTAAAAATAATTTAAATTTATAATACGGACAATGCGCTACTATAAAAGTGGACACAAAAAATAAGCCGCTACAAGCCGCGTATATAAGGGCCTGTTGGGACCTGTCCAGGTATGAGTCGCCCTTTATACAAGGATTAGTCACCGGCCGGGCGACGGTTACCCGGCCGCTTTGTGTACAGTTAACCGCCCCGCCGAGTACGGCGGGGGGGTGTGTGCCTATTGTTAATGTAACAATGGAATGTAGTCACCGGAGTGACTTGTGTACCTGTTGCCGATACTTGGCCGGGGTGTCGAAGGCGGCGCGGGTCGCCGGGGAGGAAAGTGCTGGTCTCTGGCACCGGCTCCGGAGCTGGTGCGCTGCGCTTATGGCGCAGTACACCACCCTAACACTTGTTAGTCCGATGCACTAGAGTTCACAACACTACACAATTGTCACTTGTAACTGTTCACATGCACTCACTGCACTCGCGACGCGACGAGGTGGCAGCGCGTGCCGTGTACGCGAACGGACGGCCGTTAAAAAGCGCGCGAAACTAAGGCGACGAACGAGAACCTCGTGCCCAAGTTGTTCTCTACTTTTCTTCGTGTCCGACGTGTTTGCGTATCCGCTGACTCCGTGCAACAAGGCAGCGCTACACAACGGAGTATTGATGCCAGTAGTGACGCGTGCGTCACCAAAGGCTATCGAATGAGCAATGAACCAAAAATCACCTCGTCAGGATGGGCTAACTGACCTGCTTTTATCCTCACCAGTCATCTATCACTGATGCCCCGCCAGTGTATACCGATAGCGCGGACGGGGTTACCATACCATTATCGCCCATTAAAAAAAGACCGTCTTTAACCTCTCAACTGTGTCGCGTCCGCTCAGCGGACATATAGATAAAAATGTCATATATACTGTTTTGTCTAAACTAGCTTCGCGACAAGCTTAAATTATTGTAAACAAACCACCTCTTGTCCCTGACGTCAAGAATGTATCTTATTATTGTTATCTGTGTATTATAACACTAATTGGTTGCCTTGTATTTGTGTAGTCCATGGAGATGGGGCACTGGTGACTTGTAACACAGGTTCTTCGAAACCTACCGCAAGCACCAGTCTCTCACAAAATTGGTCTTCATTTCAAATTGTACCTCATGTTGTTACTTTATTCCACCTTTTGTGAAGAGAAAATAAACCGTTCATTCATTCATTCATTCATTCATTCATTCAATGTACGTAAAATAATGAAATAGGAGACCCACTTAAGTGTCAATCGAAGAGGGACTTTTTTGGTCCATGTTTATAAACAAGTGCTGTATAAAAAAATGTATTTGAACATAAGCCTATTTTTATTTTATCAAGTATATAATATTGTATAAAAAATATATAATTTTACATCCAGCGAGGTCTTAGTTTTTTAATAATTGAAAAATAAAAGGTAATTTATAGGTGACCCCATTTTATTTCTCATAGAACAGTTGCAATGCAATTCAAGTCGAGTGTAGTGTAAGAAATTACATAAGGAATCTAGTTGGAATATAAATTTAAACTGAATTTTGTATAATTCCAATTAGATTTCGGAAAAATCAGGTTTTTTAAACCTATACACTAAAAATACCTAGTCTGTGTAAAGTCCGCTCACGGGACGCTACAGATGTGGAATTTCCACCATTTTGCATGACACAGTTGAGAAGTTTACCAGAGTTTTTTTTTCGATTTTTCAAACATTGTCTTTCATATGAACATTGTTCTGACAATTACAAAAGATTTAGCTAAATAGGTATACATAATCGGCAATTTATTTTTATTGAGGGGAAATGAAATGATAGTTATGGGGTCTAAGAGACCCATTAATAGTTTGACAGCAATATACACTATCAGATTGGCCTCCACACGGACGGTTTCTCCTGGAAACCGTCGTGTTTATTTCTTGTGAAAATTCATCACGATGAGCAAACTGATTTGCTTTCATCCTCACCTATTATGTTATCCTGGTACTCTGCCAACGTATACCGACAGTGCAGGTTACCATTCCATTATCATCCATATTTTTTTTTAGACTTTTCAATGCTTTTTAATTTTGTTACAGAATCGGATACAGCGTCCCAATGTTCTCTGGCTTCATCTTGATGTTCCTGTCCACGCTGAGTAAGTGTATCTCATTTCAACCAGATCATTTCAGTCATAGTCCTAAGAACAAGGAGAGACCAGAGGGAGACTTTGTACAAAAGTCGATTGCTTGGGTACCTCTGTCCCATTCGTGTTTCTACCGTGAAGCAGTTGTGTTTGCATAGCTGTGTTTCGGTTTGAAGGGTGGGATATGGCAGTGAATTTACAGGGTACAGAGGAATAATAAGATCTGAGTCCTCAAGAATGGCTACGCATGGGGGTATCATGGGCGAAACAGTATACTCTGTTATGTCCATGGTTACTGCTCATGTCTATAGGCGACGGTAACCACTTTCGATCAGGTGAGCCGTCAGCTTGTATGCCATTCTAAGTAGTATAAAAAAAAATTACATAGAAGTAATGATAAAATAAAAACTGTAAATCATATGGTTGCCTCCTTTCTTCTTATGCAAAGATAATTAGTGAAAAGAGGACGAAAGATACACCGTCAGTTGCTATTTTTCCCTATTCATAGTAGGCTAGTGTATAGAAAATGTTATACGACCTGCGGTCTATAGGGGCGGGGGGGGGGGAAGGGATTGTTATTAATGGGATTTAATAGTTCCTTTGCTAGCAATATACCCTATCATGTCGACCTCCACGCGGTTCCCCCTGGAAACTATCGTGACTAATTTATCGTTGAATTCGTCACAGTGGGCTAACCGACCTGCTTCATACTCACCTATCATGTGTCCCTGGTACTCCGCCAGTGTATACCGATAGCGCAGGCGGGGTTACCATGCCATTTTCACCCTTTAAAAAACCTGTAACCTCTGCATAATCTTCACTTTTCCGTTTTAGTATTCGCCTTCGGGCGGTCCTACGGCGTGCTGTTCGTGGCTCGAGCTTTACAAGGTATCGGCTCTTCATGCTCTTCGGTGTCCGGCATGGGCATGCTCGCCGAACGCTATCCCGATGACAAGGTGAGAAACTGACCTCTTAAAACTTCATGAGATCTTGGTACTTTATAGGATTTATAAAACTAGCAATCTAACTGGCTTCGCAGGGGGAAAAGGGGTTGTTAGCAATGGAGCTTGACAGCTCCATTGCTAGCAATATTACTCTATTAGGTCGACCTCCACGTGGTTCACCCTGGAAACCATCGTGATAATTTCATGTTGAATTCGTCACGATGGGATAAAAAAAATTTTGTTTGCATGGTTGTGTTTCGGTTTGAAGGATGGGATATGGCAGTGAATTTACAGGGTACAGAGGAATAACACCTGAGTCCTCAGGAATGGCAACGCACGGGGGGTATCATGGACGAAACAGTACACTCTGTTGTGTATATGGTCCTGCTCATGTCTATAGGCGACGGTTACCACTTACTATCAGGTGGGCCGTCAGCTTGTTTGCTATTCTAAGTTGCATAAAGAAAATATTATAAAATGAAGCGGTAATGTCAAACAAGAAATTACATGCTTTTTTGTAGATTTAAATAACAATTATTCTATATAAGATTCTCGAACCAGCTTACATCTTCGTTCCCGTTGCTTTTGAGACTACGGGCGTGTGGGGAGCGGAAGCTAAATCTTTCATAAGAGAGTTGAGTCTGCGCATTGCGGATAGGGGCCATTATCGCCGTTCTGGTTCGTATCGAAATACCGCAAGTGTCATGGGGACCTTTGGGTCGGGTACGGATTATGAATGGGACTGACCATTATTTATATATATATATATATATATATATATATATATATATATATATATATATATATATATATATATATATATATATATATATATATATGTAAGTAAATAAGTTCATAATTAATCAATTAAATTACCCTGTAAATTGACATTCTTAGCATATTGTATGTAAAAACATATGTATTATTTATTTGTCCGCAGGAACGTGGTAACGCCATGGGCATAGCTTTGGGAGGTCTCGCCCTAGGCGTACTAATAGGACCTCCTTTCGGTGGGCTCATGTATGAATTTGTTGGCAAAACTGCGCCTTTTCTCATGTTGTCTGCGCTCGCCTTGGGAGACGGATGTAAGTGGATTAAGGACACCATGTTTTATAGCTGTATTATGGTTTGAAAAATGGGATATGGCAGTGAATTTAATAGGTACGGAAGGATAAAATAGTCCTCAGGAATGGCAACATGTGAGGGGGGGGGGGGGGGGGGGTGGAGGAGGGGGGGGGTTAATGGATGATGTAGAATGGTAAACCCCGCTTGCGCTTCGTATACGCTGGCGGGGTACCAGGAAGACATGATATATGTGAGGATATAAACAGGTGCAGTTGGCTCATAGGGGGTTTTAAATGGAATGGTAACTCCGCTTGCACTATCGTATACGCTGGCGGGGTACCAGGGAGACATGATATATGTGAGGATGTAAACAAGTAGAGTTGGCTCATATAGGTGAATTAGAAAATTAACCACGATGGATTGTCAGGGAGAATCACGTGGAGGTTGATCTAATAGGATATATTGCTAGCAATGGAGTTGTTAGATCCATATTACTAACAATATCTGCTCCCCTCAACACATGAGGATTAACATGGTCGTCACAGTGTATCCTGTGATGTCTAAAGTGCTGTTCGTGTATACAGGTATAGGTGATGGTTGCCATTTCCCATCAGGTAGACCGTTAGCATGTTTTTTTTAAATGGATGATAATGGAATGGTAACCCCACCCGCGCTATCGGTATACACCGGCGGGGCACCAGTGAAGGATGATAGGTGAGGATGAAGCAAGTCAGTTAGCCCATCGTGACGAATTCAACAAGAATTGTTCACGATGATTTCCAGGGGGAACCACGTGGAGGTCGACCTAATAAGGCTAGCAATATTGCTAGCAATGAGGCTGTCAAACTCCATTGCTAACAATCCTTTTACCCCCACCGTCAGCATGTTTGCCATTCAAGTATCGTTAAAAAGACATATCTGTATCTAGGTATGTAGTAGTAAATAGGTTACTTGCTCTGCGCTCATGTTACCCTGGTACATCATCGTACCGTATGTGTTCACCAGTGCTGCAGCTGATGATCCTGCAGCCGGGCGTGGTGCGGCAGGAGACGGAGCCACCCTCGCTTCGCCAGCTCGTCACTGATCCCTACATTCTAGTTGCCGCTGGTAAGTTCATATTAATTTTTATTATAAATCAATTTGAAATATTGAAAATTGCTCAATTGATTTTAAAATTTGACGGAGATTTAATCTGAAATTGGACTTAAAAAGTAAAATTGTGTTTTTGATTTCCGCGCATTGTTTGAGAAAAGAATACAAGCCCTGGCCACAAATAGGCATTAATGGACTTACATATGTGTGCCTCGACTACGCCTCGGCCCACATTTGCACGTTCGTCCATCAATGCCTCAGTTGCTGGCCGCTGCGTTAATCACTCTTTGAAATGAACTGAACGTGTTTTTTTTTTTTACTGACAAAATTTGGTTTTGTGTCTTAATGCACAATAAGTACAAATAGGAGCATAGGTACAATTTTTAATCTATGAAATATAGTTGTTGTATCAGCCGCGTTTGTATTATTTGTGCTGTGCGGTTGCCAACCCGCCTGCCAAGCGTGGCAACTACTGGTAAAACGGGGAAGGCTTATTGTCCAGCAGTGGACAGTTAAAGGTTGAACAAATAATAAAAATCCTTGATCTATGATCGATAGCTGATTTCAACATAACCTTCAAGAAAAGAGCATATTCCCTTTTAAAAGGCCGGCAGCACACCTGCAATGCCGTAGGTGTTGTGAGTGATCATGGGCGGCGGTAGTCACTTACCATCAGGTGAGCCGCATGCTCGATTGCCCCTGTGTTGTAAAAAAAATTTTTTCGTGATTATTCTCTTGCTTTAATAGACATTTTATATTGCTCGCAGGTGCTATAACATTTGCGAATGTGGGAATAGCAATGCTGGAGCCAAGTCTACCTATATGGATGGCGGACACAATGGAAGCTCGACGGTGGCAGCAGGGTGTGGCGTTCTTGCCGGCCAGTATCTGTTATCTCATCGGTAAAGTACCAGGACTTTATGGGAGTGCAGAGTTAGACCAACTTTTTTTTTATGGATGATAATGAAATGGTAGCCTCGCCTGCGCTAACAGTATATGCTGGCGGAGCACCAGTGAGGGATGATGGGTGAGGATGAAAAAGCAAGTCAGTTAGTCCATTGTGTCGAATTCAGCAAGATAAGTTCACGATGGTTTCCAGGGGAAACCTCGAGGAGGTCGACCTAAAAGGGTAGGGTATATTGCTAGCAATGGGGCTGTTAAACTCCATTGCTAACAACCCCTTTCCCCCACAAAGAAGTCTCTATTCGCAAACTCAGACTCTGGAATGAAGTACCTACGATGTACTTCGTATGTAAATTTTCCCTAGAGACTACAGTATGGGATTCTTTAAAAAAGGCTATATTAAGGTTTCTTCAGGGTCGCAAACACGTACGTGACACCCCTAGTGTTGCAGGCGTCCATCGGTTACAGTGGCCGTTTACCATCAGACGAGTTGTATGCTTATTTGTCACTGTCGTATAAAAAAAACGTAAGTCTAACATACCAGGAGAACAGATACTAGGTAGAGGTTTCAAGAGTTAAAACTGTAAATATGAAATTCCAGGTACAAACCTATTCGGACCCCTCGGTCACAAGATGGGCCGGTGGCTGGCTGCTTGCTCTGGTCTGGTCATCATCGGCTTATGTCTCATCTTGGTGCGTTCTCAAAGAAATTTACTACTGTCAACCCTAAATATATTTTATCCATACCTTTTTTTTATACAACTTAAAATGTCAAACAAGCTGACGGCCCACCTGATGGAAAGTGGTAACCGTCGCCTATAGACATGAGCAGTACCATGGACATAACAGAGTATACTGTTTCGCCCATGATACCCCCCATGCGTTGCCATTCTTAAGGACTCAGGTGTATATGTAATTTTAGTATGTATGTATATCAATAATTAGTAGTACCGCATTCGAGTATTCTGACACTTCTTTATGGTTGACTGGGAGACAATGCTTTTAGCATTAAGTCCGCCATGTACACACATATATGTACTAATGAATAAATACTACTGTGTACTATTTACCTGTAAATGCTTTTACATCGCGTCAAGTCCCGACAGTGTATTTAAAATGTGTTAACAATTTAAGTTAACCGACTTGCGAAACAATATCACTGTTAAAAACATAAAGTTTAAACTTAAAGCTTATTTACTGTCCAACCTTGCTAAAAAAGCACAATACTAATGTAAATAGTGACATTTGCTAACGAAACGTAAAGTATCACACACAAGCCCAAGAGGTTTAAGTGGTACTGAAAAATCCAGTTTTTCTAAATGTATTTATGCACGCTAATTAAATTAAATAAAATAAAAATAAATAACACGTTTAAAATTAACTGTATCATAATTATTTTGAATCTGTTTTATAGATTCCAATGGCTCGCAAGTTGGAACACTTAATCATTCCCAACGCTGGACTGGGCTTCGCCATCGGCATGGTGGACTCGTCTATGATGCCCGAGCTTGGATTCCTCGTCGACATCAGACACGCAGCGGTCTACGGATCTGTCTACGCTATAGGAGATACAGCTTTTTGCCTTGGATACGCTGTTGGTAAGATAGATTGATAGATATATAGATTTGAGTCATTTATCCCACACGTAAAGTAACAACTAAATTTATACAAAATTGAAAAAAAAAAATATAAATTCACTCTTGCGCCACCTACCCATTTCTATCTGTTCTGCTTTAACCAAATGTTGTCTGTAAGAGATTGTCCTAACGATAAGACCGCCCTTTGTACCTTTATATGTATATTTTTTTTATACAACTTAGAATGGCAAACAAGCTGACGGCCCACCTGATGGAAAGTGGTAACCGTCGCCTATACACATGAGCAGTAGCATGGACATAACAGAGTATACTGTTTCGCCCATGATATCCCCCATATTTAATCCTGGTTGTATGTCACTCATGTCTTTACGCCTAGAACTCTGTTAAGTACTCGGATATCTCTCTTCTCTTTGACTATGTATACACGGAAAAACTTAGAGAGTTTTAAAGAACTCAAAGACTGTACAAGTAGAAACTTACGCAATATAAATAAGCTTATTTTACCTAAATGCCGTCTGCACAAAATCAGTAATTCATTCTATGGTAATTGCATAAGATTTTATAATAAACTGCCAGAATCTGCATTAAATCTGACAGAGAGGCAATTCAAATCTTATATTAAACAATTTTTATGTAAGAAAGCCTATTACAGGATAGACGAATTCATAGATGACAACATATCAAGTAAATAATTAGTTTATTAGCATACAACGTTATAATTTTATTTTCTCATTGCTTTCTTGATTTAATTAATTGATTTTAGAAATATGAAAGCGTAGCGGTTTTTGTATTAATTGCCGCATGCATTCTTATGTAAAATGTGAATACTATAACTATCAGATGGCAATTGTGAGTAGCTTTGACGTGGTCTAGTGTTTTGAGTAGTCATGCTCACTAAAATGTCCAGACTTGTGGCGGCGTGGTGGGCCGGGTCATTGGGCTCCCTAAAATATGGTCGAGCGCAGTGATGGCTGGCTCATCCGTCATACTCGTGAACGGGTGCTGCTTGTAGAGACTGGTCTGCTCTAATCACTATGACTGATTTCCTCTTATTAATTGTTTAACCAGTTGGTTATGTATTCAATATTTTTTCTTTTTGAGTATTTAATTGAATTAGTGCTAATTGGTGGTTTGTATTCACACACTTAAAAATGTAAAGTAATAATAAAATTATTTAAAAGAGCAACACGCAAGTTTCTTGCTCGTTCTTCTTGTGATGAGACAGCTTTCCGAATGAGCGGTAGATTAAAAAAAATGTAATGACTATTCAAAAGTGCCTTAAATGTAAGTTTATTTGAATAAATGATTTTCTATTCTATTCTATTCTATGGCAAAATCACTGAAATACTTTAAAGCAGGTATCATAAAAAATTATTCTGAAACTCCTTTTTCATTGAACCAATTGTGAATATATGTATATCTATGTATTATTTTATTGTATTATATATTAAATTTTTTTACTGGTTATTATTTAGTTTATCTTTAGCTGTACGGTTATTGCCCTTGTACATTCTACAGTTTTCTTTCAGCTTTTCAAAGGTTGACTGTAAGAAATCCCTTTATGGGATAAGTCCGCCATTGTATATTAAACCTTTTAATGTATCCATGATTTATGTACAATAAAGATTTTACAATACAATAAATTTGAATATTGGCTCGTATTGTCAAGTGTAACAAACTACATTTTTAATTCATAGGTCCTGCGTTTTCTGGTACCCTGGTAAACAGTATCGGCTTCGAGTGGATGCTCGTCATAATCGCGATCCTCAACTTCGCGTATGCCCCTCTGCTGCTGCTGCTCAGGTCACCGCCAGCAAGAGACGAGAAACAGGTAAGGTTTTGCCACACAAAACTGGTTCATCAAAGGGAACTTTGCACAAAAGCCCACGCATTTTTTGCGACACATGTTTATTGGCTGAAATATATAGATATTTTATTGACACATTCACAACGTAATTATTTAAAAAAAAAACTATTTGATAATTTCCTTTTCAGAGCCTGATTATTAGCGATAAATCGTCTGTACGCTACGTGAGCTACCAAAACGAGGAGGAAGAGTGAATGCCGCCATTTCAACGCCGCCATGACGCCATCTTGAACGTTCCCGCCATATTTTTATTTTTTTAAATATTTACCACGACTTGGGAGTGAATATTATGCCGAAACAACGGGTTTGCGTAGATAATAGAAAAGTAAATAGACGTCTAAGGAGTTCGCTGTAACTATGCCTAAAGTGTAATAAAAAAAAGTATGTAACGTATGTAGATTATAGAATTGTGTGTGACCACAGTTTATATAAAGTGATTGCCCAAATATAGATTATATATTCTCAATATATAGGTACATATATGTAGTTTTATAATACTTGACCAATTTTTCAAGTATATCATATATACTATAAGTATATATATATTAACAGGTGTATCCTATCTCTATATTATAGTACACAAAAATGCCATATTGTCAGGGTGTCTGTAAGGTAATTGTAATACAAAACATATCTACCTGTGTATTACGAACTTTTCCCCGCTATAGTTGTTTCCTTACACCCTTTATATTCATAGTGCCCTAGTATTATTTGATATAATATTTACATATATGTACGCAAATAAAGCTTTTGCTGAAAAATAAATAAATAAATAAAAATATACAATAATTTTGCGTATGTGACTTTGACAATATATTTTATTGTTTTTTTTTTTGTGTTTTTTTTTATATATATATTGTATATTTTATAGTAAATTTTTCAAATTATATTTAGACAATATGTAATTTTTAGACAATAACAAAAAAAAATGTTCGAGATAATATTTTGTGTGATATTTTAACAACATTAATTTTTTATGGCGATTTTTAAATGTTTCTTAACAGTCATAAAATATGTGTACTTGTCTTTACTCTATAAAACATTTGAAATTTCATAATAAATATATTAAACAATAATAAATAAATATATTTTTTATTTTGTTATTTGTACTTGCATATTATAATTTAAGTTTTTATTTGTAAACTTCTGTTATGTGCGCCTAATAAATAAAATATAAAAATAAAATAAATAAAAAATATATATAATAGTTAATTTAATATTCCTTGCAATTAATACTTTAAAAGTTTTAAATTAATATGAATTATCTTCTCTCTAACTGCTCTGGGTTGGCTGGAAAAGATCTCTTTCAGAAATAAACCCACTCTTGCTAACAAGTTGTTAAACCCATCTCTGTATCTTTTTTTCAAATGCAATAAAGAATTATTTAGTTAAAATTATATATTTATATAGTTGTTCTATAAAAAAAAAAAACAATACAAAATTAAATTTACTAATTTTATACACATACTATTTAGTAATATTGTAAAAACAAATACACATATAGTCCCAACAATATATTTGACAATAATACTTATTCGTAAACACATGTTATTTATGCACATTTACAATTTTATATTATTTACATTATTCATATAATGGACCAAAGGTAGTAGAATCTAATTTGTTACATCTATTTAAAATTGAGCTTAAATTTCTTGTAAATAATTGTAAAAACATCTTTTCTCACAGTACGTCAACTAAAAATATTTATTTAATTAATATTTATTTATTTTAATAAACAGAATTCATTTAGTATTCTTTTAAATATTATTATTATTTTAGTGAATCTGTTCTGAATGTTTCTGTTATTGAAACTGAAGGTTTTTTTTTCTACAAATTTCATAAAACGACAAATATTTTGAATTTCGCTTCTAGCAGTGAAAGTTACAAAAAAAAATCTTTTGTTAATTAACCTTTATTTGGTTTTGAATCAGTTATATTTTCTTTTTACATTTAAAATTACTTATTTATATATCTATAAAAAAGTATCTTTTTTGTATATTCTATTATAAATGTATAATTAACGAATAATGTAACAGACAAATTATATAAATAAAAAAATATATCTTATATATATAAAAATGACTAATAAAATTCTTAATATATAATATTTAGTCTATCTTATACAATAATATTGTGAGAAATTATGTTAGAAAATGATTAACTACTCATTAGTTTATATTATATATAACTGTATAATTGCATTTATTATGATTTTTGTCAAATATGAATGATTACGTGAATTCCTTCACTGTCTATAGAGAGATGTATCTGTAGTAATATATTTAGCATTCCTAATTTAGAGTTTAGATAATAAATATTAATCAATAATTACGATTTATCATAAAATACACTGTCACTTCATTCTATCTTATAAATCACTTTTCATTATACATACATATTATAAGATATCGATAATATATTTATAATCATATATTATTATATTAATAAGCCGATTATCACTACATTTATCTTATACAATGACTTTAGAATAAGGTTTTATTTATTTATGACAAACGAATTGGTTTCAATGAATGATATGGATATATTTCTCCATCGGTGTCAGGAATATAATTAACTTGGTAGACACATCAGCACTTTACCTTTATAATAGAGCGTACATTGAGAACTATTCTTAGTCTATGCAACAAAGTGATGAAATTAAAAATAGAAAAGAAAATTACGGATTCCAATAAATTCGTATTTTAAAATAATTTTACTCCTCTCTAACATGAGGTTGCCAGTATGAAATCTCTATTCAGAGATAAGGCCGCTGATTGTTACCTTTGTCTCCTTGTTTCGTATAATACTAACTTTTTGTTTACATATTTAATGTAATTGTATCTTTTTCAATGTATTTATGAAGAGTTTGCATTCGTTCATTTGTATATGGAACAGTTACAACTAATTTTTAATACACAATTTATTTAAAGGTCAAAGTTCCTGAAATTGAATGTCGTTCAAATTAATGTTCTAATTATGAAAATATAAAAAAAAAAAAAATAAACTAGTGATATTTAAAAAGCTGAACAAAAGTAATGTATTATTATAATTTGTCAATAAAATTATTTCGAAAAATGACCTTATATAATTTCAAATAAGTTTATTTCAAAATAAATGTTACAAACATTTTTAAATATAGGTATAAATATGAATATATTGACTATCCTAATCAGATCTTATCTTATATTCGCATATGGGGTCAGCTAAGCCGTTGCACGTCGACCCATCGGGATCTTTTGTGCTGTTTCCTTGTGATCTTCCTCAGATAATATGTGATCTAATCCAGAAATATTATGGACACTTCATAGCTATCTATGTATGGCTGCGTAGATAGTTATATATAAGAATGGAAGAAACTTATCCATATTATTATGTCTTCATATTTATTTAATTTTTTCATTATATCAACGTCTATGTTAAATAAATAGAGAAATGACTGTAGTCTGTCTATCTTAAAATTCAAAACATGTCGTTTGTTACTCTTGTGTAATGCATGCATATGTAATGATTAACATTTAATTCTAAATTGATAACTGTTTCAGTCCGAAGGTCTACATATTTTATGTGTCTTGAAGATTCACAAATTTGATCTGGCTTGAAGGACTACGAAATTGATCCAGCTCGTAAGGTCACGACATCGATTTGACTCCAAAGGCAATAAATTTAAATTTTAATCCGGCTCAAAGTACCATAACAGAAATTAAACTTGGTTTAAAGGACCACAAATTTGATCCGAATTCAAGAACCGAGAATTTGATCCAGCTCTAAAAATTACGAATTTCATCTGGCTCGAAGGACCAATCTATTTATTTTGTTTACTCATTGCAATGAAACTATACAGGTTACATAAAGAAGCAAGTCGTCAAACTCTCCATTTGTAAAAATTTTATTGAGCAATAAACAGTGGCGTAACTATACGATCTGTGGTCCGCGGCTTCATCAGAGAAATTCATCAGATAGGACACTCCCATTAATAAACAAACGAAAGAAAATTAATTAAATAATTTTCTATAATAATTAACTTGTGTAGCGTTTTTCATTCTGATAGTTTATTTGTATGATTCGTGTATGTTTTTCAGTTAATACTGTAATTATTAGATTAAATAATATTAGTGTCCAAAATACAGGTCTGACCCAGTTTAGGAACTGATGGTAATGCTGAATTTTCATAATATAATTTGATATAAGTGATAATCTTATTTTATTTTATCTCTGTTATTTGTTTTTGGTAATAAACTAATTTTTAGATTCTATCTGTGTCTACAATCTCTCAGACAAGGGGCTCTCTCACACCGGGGACACATGACAAACTGTCCACTTTGCCATCCTATTGTTACGCCACTGGCATTAAAAGATTAATAATTTATTATATTTAATATATTTATAAAAGCGAGGAAATATTTACAGCGTTAAGGAAGTCCATTTAAACAACTCATCGTGGCAGTGATCAAAAATTATATATTATCTCTAATATTATATTTAGTATAAATTTTAAGAAAATGTAAATGTATAAATGTTATACTTATATAACTATCGCACAACCCATTTGAATATAAAAAAATAATATATAAAAATATCAATGGTATATACTTTTAAGTAAAAAATGTGTAATCACGTAATCTTCCAGTAATAGGCAATGTAAAACGAATTATCCACTTAAAGAAATATTTTTAACAAGTCGCAGTTTTATTTATTTATTCATTTAATACTTTATTGTAAATATATAACAGAGAAAGTAACAGGATGTAAAATATAAAATATTTATTTATTTTATAGTCAACCTTTAATATTTATACATATATATTAATATTTATATACTTATATACAACTGTATCTTTAGAAACAACAGATAAACTACATTGCATTGTTAATTATATAGCAGTAATAATTTACACTTGAACGCAGTATAGTATATATACTAAATTTGTTTACATTTTTTTTTTGTGACTTGCTAAAAATATTGACTGTAGTTGCATGATTATAAATTAACAATATATAAATTTATATATCTATTATACATATGACTAGATAATAACCACAGAATAGAGCTTAATATTAAAAATATTGAATACTTGCATTTTATCAAAGTAGTTTAGTTTAAAGTAGTTTAAATATTTATACTTATATTGGGTAATATCAGACATTAAAATTAACTTTATATATAATATATATCTACTTAATAGGTTTTAGGATCTTAATTCTTCATATTCAAATATATAGAAACGAGGGTACAACTTTAAATTAACTTTTAAAACTACTAACTTAATTGTTATTTTATTTTACATTAATTTTATTGAATTTAAATCATATCTGATATTACCTATTACTTCGTTTGTACTAAATAACTAATGTAGTTTTTAGATATTTTTAATGTTATAGTTAGTTTTTTAATAATCATTCATATTTGGTGACTTTTTAACTGTATTATTAGACACAGTGTATTACTATAATATGCACGCAATAGCTGGGTTTGGGTCCTTCTAATATCTTATATACTTTATTTATATACTCAATATTTTGACTGAGTGGATAAATTGTATAAATTTTATTCGGTTATTCCGGTTTTGTATGAAGACTATCTTCAAATATACAGATAATAGTATAATGTATAAGAAAATTATCACATATTTATATATTAATAAGTAAAATTTATACATTAAAGTTAATACAAGAGCAAAGAGCTAAATGTGTATGTTAGTAATAAACAAGATCTTTGTAATATATACATCGATATTTCCTATTCTATACTTAATATATAAAATATATTTACATTATATATATATATATATATATATATATATATATATATATATATTTTTTAAGTAGTGGAACTTTCGTCATAATAATCTCTTATTAATAAGTAAGTAATAAATGTGATAGTTATTAGTGATATTTTCGTGCTTATTAAAATATAAAATGCGATTTTAGGATTTATATTTTAATTATTTTAAACTTATTATTTTATATTCTAAAGACATCTAAAGATTAAGTTACAAATTTATTGACATAAAACGAAATGTAATTTCTTTCTTTCTTTCTTTTAAATTTTTATATAATTTTTAAGAAATTCATTAAAATCTTATATATATAACTTTTAAAATATTGTTTATTATATTATATATATAAATTTATTAATAATCATAAATTTAGTCTTAAATATACATTTGTTGAGCATTATAAATGTTGCCAGCAGTATTATGTTTGTTATATTCTACCTAAACAATATAATATACAGTGTGAAAGGGACAGGTTGGCCAAAACGAAAGCAGCTGATTCAGATGAATGCTCTGAATCAGATGGCAGATTATTTTCCCGCCAGAAATGCACCACAGATATATAATTAACGCTTCTTAGTGTCGACGCCGCGCAATGTATTTGAAATTTTACGATCCACACGACGCGCGATACCTACAGTGCGCGGTCAGTGGCGCTTCTTCGTAGGTAGTTTTCGTACGCTTGTGGCGTTGAATTTACACAGCTGATTCCGCGCGTCGCGGTAGGATTTCAATACGAGTATTATATTGCTGTTTTTCGGTATTTCATAGTATTTTACTATAAAATATATATATATATTTGTATTATGACATAATATCATAGATTACATGATTTTAAATGAAAAAAAAAATGGATAATTTCTGGAAAAAATTTAATTTTATATGATTTATAATTTCTACTGGTTTTCAGTACAGAATAGATAGATAGATAGATAATTTATTTGCATTACTTACGGCAAACAAATTAGAATATATATACACAAAAAGTAGATCTGAATTCACTGTTTCAGTTTTGCTAAGCTGTCTCTTATATCCTGTATATTCTTTATGTATAAACATCTAGTCCTGACTTGGTATGGTGAATGCTATGTTGTTATATAGGTTAAATTATAAAATAAACTGTGTCGGAGTGTTATTTTATTAAAATGTGGGTATATGAACTAAAAACAATGTGTTTTATTCCACTCTCTGTATAATCAGACGTAGATTAGTGGCTAATTAATCTATCGGTAGGTACATTATCGCTACTGCATGTATAAGATTAAAGGAGACGGCGATATTTTTTTTAAAGATTGAAAATGGAATGGTAGATTCCTTTGCGCTATAGATATACACTGGTTGGCAGGCGGGTTGGCAACCACAATTAGGCTTTAATGATGTTTTGAGAGGGTCGTTGCTGCCCATCCCTCTATTAATTTCCCTTAGTCGCCTCTTACGCCACCCGCGGGAAAGAAAGGAGTGTCCCATTCAATATAGGGGATATAACGTGACCATATAGGGTTAAAATTTATTGAATAAAATGTATGCAACTTCCAAGACTGGAATGACCTCCCGCCTCCGATACGAAATTTAAAACTTTACCAGAGAATTTCAAAACTAGTGATGAATGGAGGTTTATTTTACTCTTTTACGTAAAAACTGTTGAATGGATTTGAATGAAATGGAGCACAAGGTTAGGTTATGTCCCAACCTAGGATGTAGGATGCTTTATGTACTCTATCCACGGGATACATACAGGTTTATATGTATTATAATAAAAATAAACGCAATGTTAAGTATACAAACAATTTATTATTATTCAATATAATTTTACTTTAATACATTATTCAATTATTTAATAGAAAATAAACAATAATCATCCTTGGAATGCGAAGGCGTATCCTTCACCAAAATTGTGTGGTCCCTTGTTCTCCACGTCGTTTTCGCGATACTGAAAAAAGGGTTTACTTCGTTATCTTTATAATCTCCTGGTACTTGAAGAATTAAACTTCAGTTTGATGGATGGGATATGGCGTGACTTCACAGGGTACGGAGGAATAACACCTGAATCCTCAGGAATGGCAACGCATGGGGGGTATCATGGGCGAAACAGTATACTCTGTTATGTCCACGGTACTGCTCATGTCTATAGGCGACGGTTACCATTTTCCATCAGGTGGGCCGTCAGCTTGTTTGCCATTCTAAGTTGTAAAAAAAATTGCATGCCTACAATTTTGAGGCAATTAAACAGCTGCCAAAAATTCTGTCACATGGCCTTAGTTATGTCAAATGTTTGTTTAAAGCAAACAAATATTTCATTTCTTTACTTCTTTCGCTGCGCATTACATTATATTCATTTTTTGTAAAAAAAATTACAGAATCTCTACTAAGAACAAGGAATTACATAGAAGGAATGATAAAATAAAACTGTAAATCATATGGTTGCCTCCTTTCTTTTTATGCAAATATAATTAGTTAAAAGAGGACGAAAGATACACCATCAGTTGCTATTTTTCTCAATTCATATCAGGTTAGTGTATAGAAAATGTTTGATATGTCAATTATTTGTCAATGACAAATTTTACATTACTAGATTATATATTGGACACAGTTTATATAGAAAGTATGCGAGCAGGTTGTATCTGAATTTGGTAGTGTTATACAGCCGTATAACATTTTCTATACACTAGCCTGCTATGAATTGACAAAAGTAGCAACTGATGGTGTATCTTCCCTCCTTTTCCTACTAATTATATTTGCATAAGAAGAAAAGAAGCATCCATATGATTAACAGTTTTTTTTGCCATTCCTTCTATATAATTCCTTGTTCTAAGTATCTGACCCACCTGTCCGTCATCTTCAGACTCATTCGGCCGCCATGTTTGAACAAACTGCGCACCGCCGGATGGTCTCTGACTACCCTCCTGGATCTGCAAACGTAGTATGATAAAGAGCGATTGTAACTTCAGTAATACGACGTGGTAAGGTCACCATGTTTGTAAAATAGATGTCCTTGAGTTTGGGAGCCTAGTGATCTGTAAGACGGGTCATCCTACCGACACCAGTCTCTCACAGATTGTTTTAAATTGTAACCTATATTAATTTATAATTTTTATTATGTTGTTATTTTGTGAGAGAAATAAATATAAAGAAAGGTTGTCTGTAAGAGATTGCCCTAGCGATAACACCGCCTTTTGTACCTTTATGTGTATATTACAATCTGTATTTATGTTACTGTATTTCACTTGAATTATTCACTTGTCATTGTATATTTTTATTTATGGTGCAATAAAGAGTTAATTAATAAAAATAAATATATATTTACAAAAAAATTACCATTATTAGATTAAATTAGATTAGATTTGTTTATTTGCGAGAACATTATTTTTTACAGATATTGATCCATTGTGAAGTACAAATGTTCGCCTTATAATCTAAAGCATGCAATTATTTTATTATTTTTATTTATTAAATGGTGGACTTAACACCACATGGCGTTATCTACCAGTCGATCGTAGACAGGAATAACAGAAAATAGAAGGGATCCAGTCTAATTCCTTGCCATCAGATATGTTGAAGCGTTATGCAATCATATATGGTAAAATGATGTCAAATATGTCAAGAAATGACGAAGAAAGACTCTGATCCAATATATATATATTGGATATACAAATAGAATATAATATACTATGAGAGTCAAACAATTGTAGACGTAGGGGTTTTTTAATTCCCATTACTAACAATTCCTTCCCTGAAAAGATAATCCTAGTTCAGGGAAGGAATTGTTAGTAATGGGGTCTAGCAACCGGCTCGCTAGCAATATATCCTATCAGGTCGATGGACGGTTCCCCCTGGAAACTATCATGGTTAATTCTTGTGGATTTGTCACGACGGGCTAACTGACCTGCTTTCATCCTCACCTATCATCTGTCACTGGTACTCTGCCAGCGTATACCGATAGCGCAGGCTACTAGAGTTACTGTTTCATCATCACCCATTAAAAATGTTGGAAATGTAATTTAGCCTTTGTCTAAGAAGTTTGTGTTGTCAATGTCGGAAAGGTAATTGTGTATCTGTAAAACGAAGTGTCTGTTGTTATTGCTTACTCTGTGAACTGTCACAAAAAATGGAGAATTGTCTATATTAAGATTGCTGTGATGTTCCTTGTATAAAATTAATACATTACTGCAGCGGCCAGCAACTGAGGCATTGATGGACGAACGTGCAAATGTGGGCCGAGGCGTAGCCGAGGCCCACACGAGGATGCGTGAGTCCTTCAATGCCTAGTTGTGGCCAAGACTTGTATAGTACTTTTCTCAAACAATGCGCGGAAATCAAAAACACAATTTTACTTTTTAAGTTCAATGTTCCTTTGTTTTTTTTTTCAATAAACAGCTTTCTATTTGTAAGCCAGTTCGAAATTTAAATAAAACCTTTTATTAGTTACCTCCTTGGTAGCCATGTTTCGAAGTAAAAGGTCATTCCATTTTTAAATTACAGGACAGATATGAGTTTACATAGTAATTTATCTGGCCGCAAAATACGACAGATATGGATTTTCATACAACTTTTGCCGGCCGCTGCCCGCATGTATCTGGCTAGTACGGCAATTTTGATTTATCTCGAAGAAGATTGTCAAAATAATGCTCACATTTCCAAACATGTTTGAGAAAATATATTTTACAACAAAGTAGATTCGTTTAATTAATAGTGTTGATAAAAAGGCTTTATAAAGCGTTTGGACCATATGGGCACATATGTTTAAAAAAAACCTAGTTCAGTAAAAGATCTACCTGATTTTGTCTCCAGGCGTTGTAAGGTTCAGGCTTCTGTTGATTGTACTGTTGTTGAAGGTCATACTGCCTTCTTTGCTGTTCATACGCTTCTTGGTAGTAATGCCCTGCTAAAGCAATATCATATATACAGCTTGACATCAGAACCCCCATCCTATAAAGGGAGTTTTTTTATACAACTTAGAATGGCAAACAAGCTGACGGCCCACCTGATGGAAAGTGGTAACCGTCGCCTATACACATGAGCACTACCATGGACATAACAGAGTATACTGTTTCGCCCATGATACCCCCCATGCATTGCAATCCTGAGGACTCAGGTGTTATTCCTCTGTACCCTGTAAATTCACGCCATATCGCACCCTTCAAACCGAAACACAGCCATGCAAACACAACTGCTTCACGGTTGAAACACGGATGCGACAGAGGTGGCCAAGCAAACGACTTTTGTACAAAGTCTCCCTCTGGTAAAAGTGGAGTATTCTGTCAGCGAAACTGAACTGAACTGAACAACTTTTACTAAAGGAACACGGGGCGAAACGTTAATGTTCCTGTACTAATACGGTGCTTTCATCTATTGAGTTTATCATCATCACCAAATCAGCTGTTGACTGTCCACTGCTGAACATAGGCCTTCTCCATAAGAAGGATTTTACTAGAGGAAGACTTTGTGGCGTCTGTAAATTAATATTGTAAATATTCATCTCATAGCCATTTATCAACATCATTACTTTCTTCTCCATCAAGTAGGTTAATTTAATTGTACATAGATGTTTCACCTCTTTCTATCTTTCGCACTGGACATACAGACATGACAGCGACGTTTACTTCTTACATTCATTTCTGCTGTCATTCTCTCATTATATAAAAATCAATAATATAATCAAGTTGGTTGTTACTTATTTCGTCCAAACAACTACAACTTTGTACAAAAGTCGTGTCTGATCGCTGTCTGTACATAGAAGATATGTAAGAGAAACTATTATTGGGGGGCTTTATGAACGCAATAGAACCCATAATAATGATTTTTAGAATTTTTGTCTGTCTGTCTGTATGTCTGTACGTTTGTTTACGCTAATCTCAAAAAAACCGCTTAACCGCTTCGAATGCGGTTTTCACTAATATATGGCAGTTCGCTCCACTTAACATTTAGTGTTTGCTTTATTTCAATTAGTTTATAAATAAAAAAAGTTATATCAATCTAAAGAATCACATATAAAATGCTATAAAATAACCGATCAGTTTTTTTTTTTTTTGATTGGTGAAAATGGTATGGTAACCCCGCCTGCGCTACCGGGATACGCTGGCGGAGCACCAGTGAAGGGAGATAGATGAGAATGAAAACAGGCCAGTTAGCACATCATGATGAATTCATCAGGAATTAATCATGATAGTTTCCAGGGGGAACCGCGAGGAGGTCGACCCATATTGCTGGCAATGGGATTCTCAGTCTCCATTACTAACAATCCCTTTTCCCCCAATAACCGATCAGTTGAATTGGCTGAAACTTTTTTTTATATATATATATATATATATATATATATATATATATATATATATATATATATATATATTGATTTAAGAAAATTCTGTCTACTCATGCAAAGCCGGGTCGGATCACTAGTCCTTAATATAATCTATATGAATCTAAGATACCTTGATTAACTGGAGCGACCGGTTCTGGACTTTTAGGGAGGTGGCTTCCTTCCAGAATCTGTAAGACAAACACGAATTAGGAGGGTTCATAACTTGAATTTCTTTTATACAACTTAGAATGGCAAACATGCTGACGGCCCACTTGATGGAAAGTGGTAACCGTCGCCTATAGACATGAGCAGTACCGTGGACATAACAGAGTATACAGTTTCGCCCATGATACCCCCCATGTGTTGCCATTTCTGAGGACTCAGGTGTTATTCCTCTGTACCCTGTAAATTCACGCCATATCCCACCCTTCAAACCGAAACACAGCCATGCAAACACAACTGCCTCACGGTAGAAACACGAATGAGACAGAGGTACCCAAGCAATCGACTTTTGTACAAAGTCTCTTGTACTTGAGTTTACTGAAGTACTTGTTTGACAAACTAGTTTGCCATCTTTGTGGTATAAAATAAATTTGCAAATAACTGTAATTTTTCAAAAACAAGTCAACAATTTTAAATGTTCTTAACTAATTAATTAAACAGTGCTCTGCTACCAAACGAAAAGGTTGATCATAGACTACGTTGCATATATAAATATACCACAAAACTTTGCACCTACTACATATTTTGTTTCAAATTTTCCTTGACAGCTTATAAAAAATATTATTGCATGATTAATGATTCTTTATATGTACGAAATTGTATGCGGTTTCCACAGTTGTGTTTCTGCGACTAACTCCTAACTCCTAAATCTAGTGCATGTTTTATTTTATACACCATCTAGTGGTCTTTTTCATAATTTTCCTAAATCTATGCATACCTAGTCACTAACACAACACCTACTAACATTAATTTGATTATTTCCCACCTTAGATGCTTTTACCACCTTTATGCAGATGATTTACAGCTTTATACTCAAGCTGATCCAAATAACATCTTTGAAGCTGTAGATAAACTAAATACCGATCTGGAAAGTATTTCGCGCTGGCCCTATCGTTTTGGCATTTCAGTCAATCCAATTAAATGCCAGGCAATTATTATTGGTAGCTCTAAACTTCTACCCAAGTTAAACTTGTCTCACTTGGTTCTGTGTTTTGAGAACAGCGTCATTCCATTCAGTGCCAAAGTCAAAGACCTGGGTCTGTTAATCGACCCATCACTTAAATGGCATTTCCAAGTGGCTGAAATGTGTCGTAAAATTACAAGCATTTTACGTGCTCTTTATCGTTTTAAATTTTTTCTTCCTCCGTCCACTAAATTACTCCTTGTCCAATCCCTAATACTTCCGCATTTCGACTATGCCGACGTGTGTCTTACTAACCTCTCGCAAGAACAGTTGAACAAGCTTGATCGTTTGCTTAACAACTGCATTCGCTTTATCTTCGGGCTGCGTAAGTATGACTACGTTTCTAATTTCCGCTCACAACTCAAATGGTTGACCATTCGTAACCGCAAAGACTTACGTATACTTTGCACACTGTTCTCTATCCACAATGATCCTTCCTCTCCTACTTATTTGAAAGATAGATTTCAGTACCTCAAAGACTCCTATACCCTTAATCTTCGGTCATCTCATAATCTCCTCCTCATCACCCCGTCACATCATTCCAGATTCATGTCCAATTCTTTTACTGTCACCGCTATCAGCCTTTGGAATAAAACCCCTGTAGATCTACGCAGAGCATCAAGTAAAGATATTTTTAAAAGAAGACTTTTTAATTATTTGTTGAGTCAACAAAACCAGCTCTAGTCACAGGTTACTCAATAGTTATTATATCTCATAATGCTTATCGTTGTTTTAATTTATGTATATGTATATATATATATTTATATGTATATATATACATATACATATATATATATATGTATATGTATATGTATATATTTCATATGTATTAGTTTATCCATATATATTAAAAGTAATGTTTATGTATTATATGTGCATTTCTTATGTGTATATTATATTTATATTGTGTATTGCCTTAATGTGTTACTATAATTGTCACATATTTTTACCACACCTGCCCTTCATACGCTTTCTGTTTTTACCCAATGGTTAGCTGGTAGAGAATGCCATATGGCATTAAGCGCGCCATTTGTACAAAATTTTATTGTGCAATAAAGAATAAATAAATAAATAAATAACATAACATAAATTAACAAATTCTAAATAAACTCACCTGGAAACCGTCCTTTCCCGCTTTGTATTTTAGCTTGACAATTTGTCCACTCGGATCCTTGTATTGATAAGAGCCAACCCTAGAGCCGTCCGGTTCTATAACCTCACCCGCAGCCAGCCCGTTGTCAGACGCGTACTCGAAACGGAAACTGCCCTCTGTTGACAGAGAACAAGTTGATATAACAAAGTCGCAGTTAGGGGGCAAAGGGATTGTTAGTAATGGAGTTTGACAGCCCCATTGCTAGCAATATGCCTTATTAGGTCGACCTCCACGTGGTTGCCCCTGGAAACCATCGTGAACAATTCTTGTTGATTTCATCACGATGGGCTAACTGACCTGCTTCATCCTCACCTATCATCTTTCACTGGTGCCCCGCCGGTGTATACCGATAGCGCGGGTGGGGTTACCATTCCATTAACATCCATTAGAAAAAAAGTCGCAGTTAAGTTGTTGTGACTAAGTTGCAAATATACCTTATATGTGACAAACTTGTAAATAAGCTGATGTGACAAAGTCGCAAATATACCTTATATGTGACAAACTTGTAAATAAGCTGATGTGACAAAGTCGCAAACATGTTGAAGTGACAAATCGCAAACATGTTGTTGTGACAAAGTCTCAAACATGTTAACGTGACAAAGTAGCAACCATGTTGATGTGACAAAATCGCAAACATGTTGTTGTGACAAAGTCGCAAACATGTTGAAGTGACAAAATCGCAAACATGTTGTTGTGACAAAGTCGCAAACATATTGATGTGACAAAGTCGCAAATATGTTAATGTGACAAAACGGCAAACGATCGCGTAGCCAAAGAATGACGATAATTTGTTATTATAATAAGGGGACTAATTGATACTTAGAATGGCAAAGATGTTGACGGTTCACCTGAACTTAGCGCTTGCTTGTGGTGGAGAATATTCGCCTGCTGCTCCTTAGTGAGGGAGTACGGCAACCTCCAGGGCTCAGGCCGGGGTAACACCGGCGTCGGCGTAGGGGACTGGCGTTGCTGTATAGGACCTGTGGATTATTTAAGTTGCTACATATTTATGCTAGCCTAGTACTTTAAAAATATATAGACCGGACATAATTCTCGTGATAAATGTATTCACCAGAGGGAGTCTTTGTGCCAGTCGTTTGCAAAGCAGCCGTGCTTTTAAAGTGGTGTTTCAGTTTGGAGGGTGGAATGTGACGGTAAAATTGCAGGATATGGAGATACAACATTACTATTATCATCATCTCATGGCGACGGCAATCACTTACCATCAAGTGAGCCGTATGCTCGTGTCCCCCTGTGTTGTAAAAAAAACTCAGCCATTATCTGTCCACTGCTAAACATAGGTTTCCACCATAGATTGTCAAGGATACTATAAGGATACGAGGACTGTCCATAAGGAGCGGTCCTGAGCTACCTACATCTACTGACACTGCAATGCATTTAAGTTCTCACTCCATCTAGTGGGGGAGGGGGGGGTCGGCCTTTAACTGTCCACTGCTGAACATAAGCCTGCTCCTTGGAAGGTTTTGCTTGTAGTTACCACGCTTGGCAGGCGGATTGGCAACCGCAGTCAGGCTTTAGAGATGTTTTAAGAGGAACGATGCTGCCCATCTATCGCCTTCCCTTAGTCAGCTTTTATGACATCCACAGGAAAGGAAGGAGTGGCTTATTCTATGCCGGAAATACACGGCACCATGAATAACATCATAGTCTTCAGGAATGGCAACGCGTGAGGGTCACAGTACTGTTCATGTCTGTACACGACAGTTACCATTTCCCATCAGTCTATTGTTTGCCAACCCTGATTTAGTTCTTAATAGATTAGACGATTGCTTGGGTATCTCTGTCCTATTCGTGTTTAAACCGTGAAGCAGTTGTACTCGTATCATACCAGGCCATGATTCAAAACTGGAACCCGGCTTCGGTCTCCAGCTCTCGACGATAGTGCTCTGCGGGGAGACGTCGTTTGGACTCGCTGGCGTGAACAACCCTTTCTGGTATCCTTCTATCTGTAAAATGAAAGTTTTTTATTATTTATGTTTGCCTGGTATATATATTTCAATTCTATAATCTATGAGAGAGAGAGGGAGAAAGAGAGAGCAATTGATTCTTTCTCATGTGCGTGATAAATAGTAGCGAAAACGTATCTACCATACCATGATTCTGGATGGACAGCATACATTGATGTCTTTCTTTTTACTCCGTCAATGAGAACTCAACATTTCTTTAATATTAAAAAGATAATTATGGCATTCATAGCAAGGGCCTATTTTAACCATTGATTGACCGAACTAAACGTGCCATACATTACTATAGGTTACATTAATTTACTGGGTGTATGTATCCATACAATAAGTAAATACATAACTTGGTCCACCGCGCTTGATTCTGCGTAGACGAGTCCCACGGCAGCGCTGGCTTGAACAACGCTCCACCCACCTGTTAAAAATCCTAATCAGTGACCTCTGCCTACTTTCTGTTAACCTAGTAAATTTATTTCCTTCTTTATTTCAGTGAAAGCACAAATAGAAGGAAAGAAAGAGTACGCGACCAGTTTCACTGTGCTTTGAAATTTTCCGTTTAGATCTCGGTTTTGTTCGAGAATTGACCTGAACAATTTTTTTTATGCTTTTGGCTTTAGATATTTCTTTATAACCCATCTCAAATCTACATTCGTTTTATAAGTACAAAGATTTTATCTACTTGATTCTATAATTGCTATGTATTTATAGTGTCCTAGTACTATAAGAAAGATTATTACAGAGTTTTAATGGTTATTTTTTTTATACAACTTAGAATGGCAAACAAGCTGACAGCCCACCTGATGGAAGTGGTAACCGTCGCCTAGAGACATGAGCAGTACTATGGACATAACAGAGTATACTGTTTCGCCCATGATACCTCCCATGTGTTGCCATTCCTGAGGACTCAGATGTTATTAGTCTGTACCCTGTAAATTCACGCCATATCCCACCCTTCAAACCGAAACACAGCCATGCAAACACAACTGCTTCACGGTAGAAACACGATAGGGACAGAGGTACCCAAGCAATCGACTTTTGTACAAAGTCTCCCTCTGGTAAAAGAAAGAAAACTTCACTTAAAGACAGGTAACGCTACGGATGTACTGTCTACATGTCCTACATTCCTGGTAATTGCCGCTGGTTACAGTATCCAGTGAACTGTTAATTAACTTACGTAACTTAACTAACTGGCCATTATTTACAAGTTATTGTTCTGTAACTATGTAATTAATTAGGGTTTCGTATCAAAGCAATAAAAAATAACTTAATGCAACTTTGTTTGTCCGTCCTTTTGTCTGTCACAGCGCTGTATCTCAGCTTCAAATGCTATTTTAAATTTAGAGTTTAAGCCTCACCATCTTGGTGATCCGGGGGTAGTTGCCCCCGGAATTGAAGCTGCGGCAAAGGGACTTTGTACAAAAGTCGATTGCTTGGGTACCTCTGTCCCATTCGTGTTTCAACCGTGAAGCAGTTGTGTTTGCATGGCTGTGTTTCAGTTTGAAGGGTGGGATATCGCGTGAATTTACTGGGTACAGAGGAATAACACCAGAGTCCTCAGAAATGGCAACGCATGGCGGGTATCATGGGCGAAACAGTATACTCTGTTATGTCCATAGTACTGCTCATGTGTATAGGCGACGGTTACCACTTTCCATCAGGTGGACCGTCAGCTTGTTTGCCATTCTAAGTTGTATAAAAAAAAATATTACTAACAATCTTTTAAGTCCGCCATTTACACTATTTAGGTGTATTAAAGTTTAATAAATAAATTTTTTTTTTATACCACTGAGGTGGTATACAAGCATAAATCCCTCCTTATGGTAAGCGGTCACCGTAGCCTGTAGCCTGAGCACCTGCAATACCAGGGGCATTGCTACACTTATAAATGAAAATTGGAAATGCATTTAAAAAAAAAAAAAAACATTAACACTTTACTCACATGCTGTTTGAACGTCTGCGGTTCGTAGTAGTCACTGTCCTGAGCGCTGGTCACCGCCAACAGGAAACACCAGGCGCATATCAACTGAAATTATTGTTTTATTCAAGTAAACTAGAACTAAACTAACTAAACTCGGGGGAAAGGGATTGTTAGTAATGGAGACTGATGATGACAATATACCCATCCAGGTCGACCTTCTCGCGGTTCCCCCTGGAAACTATCATGGTTAATTCCTAATGAATTCATCATGATGGGCTAACTGGCCTGTTTTCATTCTCATCTATCACCCTTCACTGGTGCTCCGCCAGCGTATCCCGTTAGCGCAGGCGGGGTTACCATACCATTTTCACCCATAAAAAAAAACTACCTAAACTACTATAAACATTTTTGAATAATCATTTTTTTACAAAACTACCGCCCAGTACGGAAAGCAATTTCAGCTGAGAACAGGCAAGAAACACAGCTGCTGCTTTTTTCAAATAAAAATTAAGTTTACAACAAAATTATTATGAATATCATAATATACAGTGACTATCACAAACTTCGTGTTTATAATAATAAAAAAAAAAGAAAATAAAAGCTACAATTAAACACAGTATTTATATTAAAAAAAAATACCAAAACACTTAATCCCACAAAAAAAAAAAAAAAAACAATAACTTTAACCCTGATAAGACCAGATATTTTAGTTTAAAAACTACATTACATCAAATTTCATGTATTTTTTTATCTAAATCAATTATTTTAGACAAAAAATTACATGAAAGCGATTTGAAAATATTTTATTATTATTATTTCAGCCATTAACTGTCCACCGCTGAATATAAGCCTTCCACATTAGGGTAGTTTTGCTAGTAGTTGCCACGCTTGGCATGCGGATTGGCAACCGCAGTTAGGCTTTTAGAGGTATTTTAAGAGGGACACTACTGACCATGGCTTCCTTGTAAAAATATATCCTTTCAGATAAAAAAGACAATTTTAAAAATTCTTATTACAAATTAAATAAAGTATTAAATTGTTATTTTTAAATTAAATTATGTATTAAATTAAATTAAGTATTAAATTGTTATTTTTATTTAAATTATATTATTATCTAACTAATTGACACGACAAACTTCATACCGCCTAGCAATTAATGAATGTCGTGTTACATATTAGCTTCAGTATTTTATTACGATAAATAAAAAAGTACAAAAATCAAGCAAAAATCAATGGCGTGTCAACAGGGCATGACTGAATTAAAGTATGCACATACTGTGCTTCATACGAGTAGAAGCTTCTATAACATGGCGTGCGCTGCCTGAACGGTTTGAAATAAAGGAATAAAATGTATAGCAAAAATATTCATTACTTTTAGCTGTAAAAAAAAGTCCACGACACCATATTTCTACGTTTAATATCTCGGTCAAAAAGATGATTTTTATGATATAAGTAAAATAAATTTTACGAGAGGTTCATTTTAAAATCTTAGAGAATATTAGTGCAGTACTAATTTAATACTAATCTACTATATCATGTATGTATAATATATATATATATATATATATATATATATATATATATATATATATATATATATATATATATATATATATATATATATATATATATATATATATATATATATATATATATATATATATATATATATATATATATATATATATGTTATGCTTTATATACAAACCCTAAAAAAACTTTCTCCTTTCGAATTCTCAAGGTTGACTGGAAGAAATTCCATTAAGGGATAAGTCCTCCAGTGTACATTTTGGTATAACCTATTATTTATATATACTATAAGTGAATGTACAAAAATATACAAATAAATAAGTATAATATATTTATTATTATCATTTATATTAATTTTGATATTTAATCAATTTATTTTTGATAATATTTATTCGATATACATAAATTTATATTTAATATTAGTATGTTGACAAATAAGTGATGACAAATAATGCAAAAACTAAAATAAAAAAAAAAAAAATAGCTGCTACATTTTTTTATTATTATTAATTGCTATTAGAAATTATTATAAAATTTAATTAATAAAATAAAAAGAAAACTTACTCTCATTATAAAAAAAAGTATAGACACAATATGAGTACACCAGGCTCACAGCAATATTAAAGAGGTAATGATGCAAGCGTGTCTATATATGCTGTGTGCAATATGGCCGATGAACCGAAAAATAACTGGCAGTTTTGCACTAACTAGATTTGTTTCGACATTGTTCGAAAATTAAAAAAAATAACTGCCAAGTGACAGTGCGAGACTTCTATCGTTTATGGATTCCTTGTCTTCCGGGGTTGAAATTTAAAGACAAATCGCATTTTCTTATGGCAAACAAGCTGACGGCCCACCTGATGAAAAGTGGTAACCGTCGCCTATAGACATGAGCAGTAACCATGGACATAACAGAGTATTTTGATACCCCCCATGCGTTGCTGTTCCTGACTCGGGTGTTATTCCTCTGTACCCAGTAAATTCACGCCATATCCCACCCTTCAAACCGAAACACAGCCATGCAAACACAACTGCTTCACGGTAGAAACACGAATGGAACAGAGGGATACCTCTGTCCCATTCGTGTTCCATTCCCACAAAACAAGGATTTTTAGAGTTTTTGTCTGTTTGTCTGTACGTTTGTGCACGCTAATCTCAGTAACAGTGTAACCGATTTGAACTCGATTTTCCCTAATGTGTTTCGGTTTACTTCACTTAACATTTAGTGTTTGTTTTATTTCAATTAGTTTTTAAATAAAAAAAGTTTTATCAATCTAAAGAATCACATATAAAATGCTACAAAATAACCGATCAGTTGTATTGGCTGCAACTTTATGAAGGTATTAGGTACGTAATTATCATTTAAGTATATAATACAATACAAGACCGGACTCATGAAGAGTTCCAATGGGAACGATATACGGGAACTACATTGAAGCGGGCAACGCTGCGGGAAACGATTGATTAATAGATATAATTCATTAAATGTGCTATGTCTAAAATTACATGGTCGTTAAAAGCCCGTGCATGGTCAACTAACACCATGCACGTTTGTCATTCAAGTAATCGTTTAGTGTATATTTGTTCCTTATCCACTACTGGCGCGAAATACATTAAAAAATAAGCCAGTCAACGTCGTTTCCGTAATAAACAACACATCTAATCTTCGGTTCTATCCACAGATAAACGAAGACTTGTTCCCGCTGTCTGATGGCGCCAAGAATCGCTTGATCGTGCCATATGATATACCACCAACAAAGTACGCCAGCGACATGTCGCCGTGGCTCTTCGATTACCACAGTTGAGCTCTTGTACCCTCATGTTACCCTGGTCGCGTCAAGGGAAATCTATCCTATATGTAATAAAACTGTAGAGGTCGAATGTCTGTATGTAGAAAAAAAAAACGCTAAAAACCGAGTCACGGGGATGTTTGAAGTGAAATGGAAAATACATCCAGATTTTTTTTTGTTTTTCTCTATCTGTTTATACGGGCTAATCTCCGAAACTGTTAGACCGACATAAATGAAATTTTGCATGCTGATACCTTACATCCCCGGTCAACATTTTAGATACTTTTAATCACGGAAAATTAAAGAGTTCCCGTGGGATAGTTAAAAAACTATAGTAACTTATACAGGTTAGTACACGATCTACTTAAGTAAAGTCATTTTGATCTAAGGCAAAGAGTGACAACGACATGTCATTTGTTAATTTTGGTCCAATGTTCCCGGACATAATAAATAGGTAGGTACATACATCAGTACGTACTAAACAGGAATAACAAATACTCAAATAATCAGCTAGTTTAATATATTTTTGTAATTTAATTATTTAATTAAATTAAGAAATAAAGTTTGATTTTTAAATTGTTATTTTATTTTCACAAAACCTCATGGGAATACTTACGGTTCTTTAGTAGAAACCCTTTACCCATCTTCAGTATTGGCGTATTCGTATTTAACGTCATTTTTCTATGAGAAAGGGAAAGGGGGAAGGGGAGGTTCTTAAAAAAGATATATATGAAATTTTAGACGCGACTGCTCATTGCTGAAATATCCGTATCCAATCCTGGGGTCATTTTTTCTTTAATTTATTTTATTTTATGGGCTTTTACCTTCTTCAGGTATATTAGTCCTATCGTACCCTGAACTGATTTCTCAAACAAAACTTTATCTACCTTCCCTAGATGCGGAAAGAGGAGAATTAATGGGCATCAATAATTTACAGAGATGTTTAACAATTTCTGATTTAGGTTCAGCTAACATAGATTGAATAACACCAACGTTAAATTAAATTTATTTAAGTTAAAGTGGCGCATGAATTCTTCTCTTTCCTTCGTGTTAATACGACACTCTAATAGAATATGATGCACATCATCGATGGTATTACAAGTTTGACAATTGGGTGACAAGGACTTTCCCATCATATGTGCAAATTTTTTTGATGGATAATGACCAGATCGTAAACGAACAGCTAATTTAATACAGTACACACCACCACAGAGGAATGGTAAGTGAGCATGAAACCAGATCAGTTAGCCCACCGTGACGAATTCGATAAATTAACCACGATGGTTTCCAGTAAGAAGTGGAGATTGACCTGAAAATGTATATTGCTAGCAACGGGGCAGTTAAACCCTATTTCGAACAATCCTTTTTCCCCCCGAAGTCATTCAGTTAACACACTACCAATTATCATATGAGTATTCATAATAATAAAAAAAATATGGAAGTTAAAATGGCGTACAAGCTGCCAGCTAGCGTGATTGAAAATGGTAACTGTCGCCTATAGACATAAGCATACATACCATAGACATAATAGAGTCCACTGTAACGCCCATGATACCGCCCATGTCTTTAGTCGTATCTCCTCACTTTCAGGGCACTTCCCTCGATAATAGGTCGTGTCTGGGGATTCTTGGCGTCGATATATCTAGCGACGTCCAGTTTTGCGGTCATCTGGAGGAGAAAGCTAAGTTAGCTTCCAAAAAGTTGGGGGTGCTCAATAGAAACGGTATGTCACGCCGGAACACCGCCTGAAACTGTATAAAGCTCAAGTGAGGCCATACATGGAATACTGTTCTCACCTGTGGGCAGGAGCGCCACAGTACTAACTCGAATTGCTAACGATTGGCGCCTTACTGTCCGACTCAACCCACTGAAATTGCGCAGAGATATTGCATCTGTGTATCTTCTACCGAATTTATCATGGGGCGTGCTCTGAGGAATTGTTCGGATTGATACCTGCTTCTGATTTTCACCATGGTACAACCCGCCATGAACTAAAATTTCATCCTAACCATCTGCACTTTTTAAAAGGCCAGCAACACATCTGCAATGCTGTTGGTATTGTGGGTGACCATGGGCGGCGGTAGTCACTTACCATCATGGTGAGCCGCATGCTCGTTTGCCTCCTGTGTTGTAAGAAAAAGCTCTTTGAAAACGTTATGTTTTTATTATTCTACCGCTGGATTCGAAAGGTTGTTATGTGCCGAGAAGAACCCCCAAGAAACTAATAAATAATAAAGAAGAAAAGGAAGAGGCATCAATATACCTGACAAATTACTTTAATCGAAGTACGTCCAAAATGAAATGACCGCATGAATGACATAACAACATGCTTGTACTGTCAACACTGAAAAGTTTCAATTTGACAGCACAATCCGCCATCTTAAAAAAAAGTTTGAATTTGACACAAAAATCCCCATTAACAAAATGATCCGCCATTTATTGAATTCATTTGTTACAAAAAATGTGACAAATGAAGAACCGCTCGAGCGATTTTGTGCAAACTTCACATAAACCATCTACTAAATAGTCCGAACAAAGCCTAAACATTTGGTTTGGATAGGTGAGCACGTTCTTGCAGCCACTCGTCGAGATGGTTGGGATGAAACTTTACTTCAATACGAACAATTCCTCAGAGTACTGCCCATGATAAATTCTGTAGAAGATGCACAGAGATGCAACATCTCTATAGTTTGTAAACAAGTCAATAATACAGGTAAAATAACAATAAAGATGGCTGGCCTATACTTTGGTCAACGCATTTCCATTGCTATTCAGCGTGGAAATGCAGCAAGTCTCCCAGGTACCCTGCCAGCTGACAGTGATCTCAAAGAATATTTTTATCTTTAAATATATATATATATATATATATATATATATATATATATATATATATATATATATATATATATATATATATATATATATATATATATATATTAACTATCTCTTCTATTTAGATATTTATAGTTTATGGTCACTAAGATATAGCATTATGATGTACATATATAATAATTAATAAATTACGGAATTTAAAATACGAATATTCAAATTGTCTTATATGAAAAAATAAATACAATAAAGATTATATGGTTTACGGTTTAGGATTTACGGTATTTTCTATTCACTTGTTTATGAATATAGGTACATATGTTTAACGAAAATATAGGTATATGACGAACTTACTGTTTCTATTCTTTTCCATTCCATACTATTCCATCCCTTTCCATTATATTCATTAGAGTGTCATGGTTTACAAGCATCACTGTGTGATTCTATAAAGAATTTATGAAAGCATTTATTTCAATGATTAATTGATGGATGGAAAACACTACAGAAAAGACAGATTACAGATTTTGCTGTAAAATTAACTTTTAGTTCATACTACTTATCAGAGAGAGACTTTGTACTAAAGTTGTTTGCTTGGCCACCTCTGTCCTATTCGTGTTTCAAGCGTTTGCATGGCTGTGTTTCGGTTACAAGGGTGGGATATGGCAATTAATTTACAGGGTACAGTCCCCCCATGCGTTGCCATTCCTGAGTCCTCAGGAATGGCAACGCATGGGGGGTATCATGGGCGAAACAGTATACTCTGTTATGTTCATGGTACTGCTCATGTGTATAGGCGACGGTTACCACTTTCCATCAGGTGGGCCGTCAGCTTGTTTATCATTCTATGTCGTATATATAAAAAAAAAATGTGCATTACTCAGTCTGTGGAAGAAATTATATTATATAAATATAAATATAAATTCTTAGGAATACATTTGAAAGTACAATATAAAATAATGATTCATGATGACACTTATCTTTACTGATTACTTTGCTTTGTATCAAAGTATAGACCTAAAATAGTTTACGTTTTCAAATCATTGATAATGGCCGCCATGTTGATTATTTTTTATACAACTTAGAATGGCAAACAAGCTGATACCCCCCATGCGTTGCCATTCCTCAGGTGTTATTCCTCTGTACCCTGTAAATTCACGCCATATCCCACCCTTCAAACTGAAACATAGCCATGCAAACACAACTGCTTCACGGTAGAAACAGGAATGGGACAGAGGGGCCCAAGCAAATATATTCATATACTAAATAAAAAATCATTTTAAAAAATCAAACTTTATTTATTAATTAATAACAGACAATCACAAAAATATATCATAATTTCCCTTGACGCGACCAGGGTAGCATGAACGTACAAGAGCTCAACTGAGGTAATCGAAGAGCCACGGCGACATGTCGCTGGCGTACTTTGTTGGTGGTATATCGTATGGCACGATCAAGCGATTCTTGGCGCCATCAGACAGCGGGAACAAGTCTTCGTTCATCTGTGGATAGAACCGAAGATTAGATGTGTTGTTTATTACGGAAACGACGTTGACTGGCTTATTTTTTAATGTATTTCGCGCCAGTAGTGGATAAGGAAAAACACTTATTGAACAAAGCCTATTTTTTACGCACTAAACGATTACTTGAATGACAAGCGTGCATGGTGTTAGTGGATCATACACGGGCTTTTAACGACCATGCAATTTTAGACATAGTACATAAATACACATAATGTTAACAGAGATTTGAAAGAGTAAATGTTGAGCTTGTTCCGGCTCTTCTCGACAGATAAAGAGCTTCCGAACGCTGCAGTAGATAAAAAAAAATACGATTTAAAAGTACTTGTAGAGGTAGAAGGAATGATAAAATAAAAACTATAAATTATATGGTTGCCTCCTTTCTTCTTATGCAGATATAGTTAGTAAAAAGAGGACGAGAGATACACCATCAGTTTTTTTTTCTTCTCAATTCATAGGAGGCTAGTGTATAGAAAATGTTTGATATGTCAATTATTTTTTAATGACAAATTTTACATTACTAGATTATATATTGGACACAGGTTATGTAGAAAGTATGCAAGCAGGTTGTATCTGAATTTGGTAGGGTTATAAAACCAAGTGACATATCTTGATGAATTTGACCTCTACGGACTAGTCAAAAGGCAGATGCGTTTTTATATGTCTATCCCTGTCTAACGCATTGGCAATGTCATAAATACAACGAGCAACCCACTATGTGAGTTGTGCATTTAATCTATTCCGAAATCTTTGATTTCTTACCACAAATCTCGGCAGTAATAACACGCCGGCTTCATAACTCATGATCCTCAGTGCGGAGTTGCCTTTGTTTATGGAGCCCCAGGCTGCTTTGCTGACGTTACCCGACGTGAGGAGGTAGTAGGCGGCCATCTTGTTGTCGGGCGACGTGCGCATGTACGACTTGATGTGGGGCATCGCTCGGTCGCGGCCGCTGCACGTAGCCCGCCACTGGCTGGACAAAACATACGCATATACATTGAACCACTTCAAATTTCTGCTCGCCTAGTACAATTTTATTATTTTCTGAATGGAGGAAGCCGTCGCTTGGGATGTGCGATGGCCATGTAGCGCAGACAGCCACCACCCGAGACCATTGGACGTTTACAATTAATAAACTCCTAGTAATATATGGGAGCCTAGTAAACCATAAAAGAAGCTGTTTAGCCATGGTTGCTTGAAATGCACTGTGGCTGTGTGCGGCCAGGTAGCCGTCATCTTAATATAGCTCATCCAGGGACCGTTGCAGTAATAAATAAATTCCTAGTAAAATATGGGAGCCTGGTAACTCATTAGAAGAAGCTGTTCAGTCATGGTTGCTTGAAATGCGCTGTGGAAGGAGGAAGTAGTTGAGCTATGGTTGCTTAACAATGCGGCAGCCGCATACGGCAAAGAGTAGTCATCCAGTAGACCAACCAGGGACCACTGCACGTTTCCAAATATTAAACTCCTATTAATATATGGGAGCCTGGTCACTCACTAGAGGAAGCTGTTGAGCTATGGTTGCTTAGCGTGCGCGGCGGCCGCGTACGGCAAAGAATAGTCATACAGTAGACCAACTAGGGACCCGTTACCGATTAATACACTCCTAGTAATATATGGGAGCCTAGTAACCCATTAGAAGAAGCTGTTCAGCCATGGTTGCTTGAAATGCGCTGTGGCTGTATGCGGCAGGCAGCCATCCAGGGAGGGACCGCTGCAGTAATAAATAAATTCCTAATAACATATGGGAGCCTGGTAACTCACTAGAGGAAGCTGTTGAGCCAGGGTTGCTTAGCGTGCGCGGCGGCCGCGTACGGCAGGCAGCCGCCACCCAGTAGACCGTCCAGGGACCGCTGCACGTTTTCTGCACACAAACATATTTTACTATTTCTCTATATGGACTTTTTTTTTTTATTCAACTTAGAATGGCAAACAAGCTGGCGGTCCACCTGATGGAAAGTGGTAACCGTCGCCTATAGACATGAGCAGTACCATTAACATAACAGAGTATACTGTTTCGCCCATGATACCCCCCATGCGTTGCCATTCCTGAGGACTCAGATGTTATTCCTCTGTACCCAGTAAATTCACGCCATATCCCACCCTTCAAACCGAAACACAGCCATGCAAACACAACTGCTTCACGGTTGAAACACGAATGGGACAGAGGTACCCAAGCAATCGACTTTTGTAAACCCTTCTGTAAACCAAACTTGCATGAAGTCCTACTTCGCTTCCCGATTATCGTATAACAGTATATTTAAAAAAAAATATCATCCAATGTTCAGTGAAAGAATCAAAACTAAAAAGAATTGGCCGCAATCTCCAACTTATGCGCATACAGAGGATCTGATAAAACCTATTGTCTGAAATGTTTATCGAAATGCAAGCATTCTATAGTTTCTTAACACACACACACACTCACGCATTTACGCAGGCAAGCGCGCACGCACGCAATCAAGCACACACACATATATATATAATTACATATGAAAATATTACCTAATGAAGGATATATTATCTTCAGTTCAGCCGGCGCGGACAGCATCTGCGGCTGGTTCTTTATTTTCGTGAAGTGGTGCAGAAAGTCGCCGGTGAGCCATAGCTGTAATCAATAAATTACTCTTGCTGAGCCATGATCGCCTGGCAACACTTTTATAGAAGCACTCAATCCCCCCCCCCCCCTCCTCCTACTATATTATAACTTTAAACTTTATCTTCGAATAAATTAGATCGCTACTCGGAGCGTAGTTAACTGTTCGACGAGCAAACTGCAAAACACATGTCGCAAAACGTGCGTGGACGAAATGGTGGTCGGAGATTGATATGGAAGATTCTAGAATATTAGCCATTAACCGTCCACTGCTCAACATAAGCATTTCCCATAAGGAGAGTTTTGCTAGTAGTTCCCATGTTTAGCAGGCTGGTTGGCAACCGTAGTTAGGCTTTTTATGATGTTTTAAAGGGACGTTGCTGTCCATTCCTCGACGATAGTCGCCTCTTACACCCATTGAAAAGGTAGGGATTGCCCATCCTACTACTAATATGTATCACAAAGTACCAGGCTGTTATAAAATACATAGCAGTTTACTTTCGACTCCTTCTTGTAGTTGGCCTGTGTTGTGAATACCAAAGTATTAGAACATAGTGACTGTATTGATCAGCAGACCAGCCATATGCAGGAGTCGAGGGTTTTTTTTTTTGATGCGTGAAAATGGTATGGTAACCCCGCCTGCGCTAACGGGATACGCTGGCGGAGCACCAGTGAAGGGTGATAGATGAGAATGAAAACAGGCCAGTTAGCCCATCATGATAAATTCATCAGGAATTAACCATAATAGTTTTCAGGGGGAACCGCGAGGAGGTCGACCTGGTTGGGTATATTGCTAGCAATGGGATTCTCAGTCTCCATTACTAACAATCCCTTTCCCCCCTGGAATCGAGAGTTATCCAGCTATGACTTCATCTTTCTACACTTACTCATACCCACTAGCGTGACAATACCCACTCTAACCAATAGCGCAAGTGGGGTAACTATTCCATTTTCATCCATAAAAAAGACTTTACTGCGAAAAATGTACCAGGCTCTCATAAACAACAAGCAGTTACCTTCGGGTCGTTCCCGTAACTGCCGATGCTGCTGGCCTGCGCCAACAGGGGCCACTTCGAGTTCTCTGCTGGCGGGATGCAGCAGTGCTGCCGCAACAGCGCCCCCACACGAGTCATGCCCCAATCCATGTCGAAATGTGATCCTGGCGCGGAAGCCACTAGGAATACGCTGAAAACACAAAAACAAATTTCAAATCCTGACAGTCACATACCAGAGGGAGACTTTGTACAAAAGTCGTCTGCTTGGGCACCTCTGTCCCATTCGTCCCGAGGAATTGGATCGCAGGGGGGTATCATGGGCGAAACAATATACTCTGTTATGTTCATGATACTGCTCATGTCTATAGGCGACGGTTACCACTTTCGATCAGGTGGGCCGTCAGCTTGTTTGCCATTCTAAGTTGCATAAAAAAACATAATGGGTCCCATCACCATGGGATCGCCCCTTATTTTTTTTATCACACCATTAGAGTCTGTAAGTCCATGGTGATCCATTTTACTAATACATATAATAAAATTGTAATTGAATGCTTTTTTTATGCTATGGTGACAAACAAGCATACGACCCGTCTGATGGTTAACGGGGTTACCGCAGCCTATGGACGCCTGTAACACCAGGGATGTCACGCATGCGTAGACTCAACTTAAGAAACCTTAATACGCCCTTTTTGAAGAACTATAGGGAAGATCTGGCCTGGCCTGGCCAGGAAGATCATTCCACAGCCTGAGTGTTCAGGGGGAAGCGCCTCTCAAACCGCACTAGGCGTGACCATTCTGGTTCTAAGATGTGAGGATGGATTCCCTGGCGATGACGATGATGGGTCGAAGAAGGAATCCGGTCACGTGGACCAAATCGTGAATAAACACTAGTTTCGAAACCAAACTCACTTGATATGGCTGAAGTCACATCTCTTCACCCTCTCGACGTAGTGGGCGAGCTGCGGCATCTGGTAGTGGTTCAGGTAGCGCAGCAGGCACTTCTTGAAGGAAGTCGGCGACTCGCCGTCGAACGGCATCGCGTCCGCTGGAAGTTCTGGACAGCGTGGGCTGAACCATAGGCTGCAATACGGACCATTACGTAAATAGATAATTTTACAATATAAGGCAAACGAGCATACGGCTCACCTGATGGTAAATGACTAACACGACCCATGAGCATCCCTAATACTGAAGGAATTGCAGGTGTCCTTTTTTATATTATTATTGTTACAAACAAGCATAAGGCTCGTCTAATGGTAAACGGAGTTACCGCAGCCTATGGACGCCTGTAACACCAGGGTGTCACACGTGCGTTGCCAATCCTAAAAAAAACCTCTTTACCCCCCCTTTTGAAGAACCCCATGCTGTAGTCTCTTGGGAAGACCTCGGCAGGGAGCTCATTCCATAACCTGAGTGTTCGTGAAAGACAATATCTCTGAAAACGCGTTGTACGCGACCATCTAGCCTGTAAGGTATGAGGGTGAACTCCCTGTCGATGGCGAGCCGTACGATGGTAGAAAGTGGCCGTGAGCATCATATTGAACAATTCCTCTGAGCACAGTCCATTGTAAAAGCGGTAGAACACGCAGAGTGAGGCGAAATCTCTCCTAAGACTTATTCGATACCACTTGTAAGCCTGGGATCATCGACAATTTTCAAAAATAAATGTGTCGCGGTGTTTGTTACCAAACTCCTCCGAAACGGCTTTACCGATATTTATGAAATTTTGTGTGCATATTGGGTAGGTCTGAGAATCGGCCAACATCTATTTTTCATACCCCTCAATGATAAGGGTGACCATCCCCAAAAAAATTTTTTAACAAATTTTTCCATTTTTATTTTATTATGATTTAGTATTGAAAAATACACACAACTTTAAATTTTCATCGTTTTACGATCAACCCCTGTATTTTAATCGCGATTTTTATATTTCGCAATAAGTGGTAAAACAACGTTTACGGGATCAGCTAGCAAATAAATAAAATGGTATTTTGTCATACAATTGTTCACTCACCCCTGAGTCCTGTTCTCCCAATCATCAAGGTACAGGTTCGCAGTTGACACCACCACGCGTAGTGATCCATCTTCGTAGCATAATATCATCATTTTCCTGTAAAAAAAAAAAGTGATGACTGTAAAGTAATTAAAGTGATTGGTCACTAAACAAAATTGGACACGAAACACTAGATGGCGTCAGAATCGAGTCTTGTAGTTTTTGTCGATTATTTTTTAATTAAAAATAATATGAGACAAAATTCGTAAATTTGCGGGTGTTTTTATATATTTTTAACCGATATAGTAATAATTTATAATATATTTTGTCTTCATTCTCTTGTATTGTACAATTTTGCAAAAAAAAAAAACACATATTGGCAAGAAACATTGCGATTGTGTTTCTTTTTTTTATACTATAAATAAATAAAAAATAAAAATTCAAAAACCTCACGTATGATGCTTTCCAAACGGCGTCGCCATGTTGACGTGGTGCGCGTCTACGTGGGGCTTCTTCTTGTTTATATTCTTCAGTTCCGGCGCGTCCTCACCATAGAGTATGGTCAGCCTTTTCTCGCTGTAGCCCGCGAAGTAATACTGCGCTAGGAGCCAGCCCAGTTCGACCATAAAATTTATCTGGAGGGAACACTTCAGCTCGCCTAAACTGTGATCCAGGATTTCTGCGGGTAAAACATTTTTTTTTTAATGGATGGATGGAAAATGAGGTAAAAGTGAAGTTTACAAGGGGGAGACTTTGTTGTTTGCTTGGACACCCCTATCCATGTTTCTACCGTGAAGCAGTTGTGTTTGCATAGCTGTGTTTCACTTTGAAGCAATCCCAGCTTGTGAATGGCAGTGAATTTACAGGACAGCAATGGGATTGCTAATGTCTATTACTAACAATCCCTTTCTCCCCCTCTAAACACTTGTTTAATGGATGACAATGGAATAGTAACCCCACCTGCACTTCTGGTATACACTGGCAGGACACCAGCCAAAGGTGTAATAAGTAAGTGATAAGATTCAATCGTGAAGCAGTTGTGTTTGCATGGCTATGTTTCACTTTGAAGTGATATGGCAGTGAATTTACAGGGTACAGAGGAATAACACCCAAGTCCTCAGGAATGGCAACGCATGGGGGGTATCATGGGCGAAACAGTATACTCTGTTATGTCCACGGTACTGCTCATGTCTATAGGCGACAGTTACCACTTTCCATCAGGTGGGCCAGCTTGTTTGCCATTCTAAGTTGCATAAAAAAAAAAAACAAACAAACAGTAGGACAACTCTTGAATCCAACATGGATCTCAATCCAAATCTATTGCTAATGACAATTTAATACTGCACTAATGTAACAGTTAGGAATTAGCTATAATAAGGATCGGTTTACAATAGTTTGCATTGGCAAGTTGCACTAAATGCATCTATCAGAACAGTATGTAGACAATAGTACGTTACTGGAGCGGCCAGCAACTGAGGCATTGATAGAGTCCATCAATGCCTAGTTGTGGCCAAGGCTTGTATAGTACTTTTCTCAAACAATGCGCGGAAATCAAAAACACAATTTTACTTTTTAAATTCAATGACGAATAACGAACAATAATATTTTTTCACGCGCCATAATGTTCCTTTGTTTTTTTTTTTCAATAAACAGCTTTCTATTTGCAAGCCAGTTCGAAAATTTAAATAAAACTTTTTATTAGTTACCTCCTTGGTAGCCTCCATGTTTCGAAGTAAAAGGTCATTCCATTTTTAAATTACAGGACAGATATGAGTTTACATAGTAATTTATCTGGCCGCAAAACACGACAGATATGGATTTTCATACAACTTATGCCGGCCGCTGCCCGCATGTTCGGCAATTTTGATTTATCTTGAAGAAGATTGTCAAAATAATGTTCACATTTCCAAGCATGTTTGAGAAAAAAATATTTTTATATATACTTACCTAAAAACGTTATGGAGTATGGTTGATTATGTGTTTCCTTCGCGTCAGATATAGTTGTATAAAATATATGATAGGGGGCGCTAGCGGCATGCTTCGCCGCCATGTTGCCACGTGGTAACACCACCTTCAGGAAATTCTCTGGGCGACGCGTGGGCTGTACTACCGGGCGGTAGTCTGTACCTGAAATAATTTTTTAATGGATGATAATGGAATACTAACCCCGCCTGCGCTATTGATATACGCTAGCGAGGTACCAGGGAGACATGATAGGTGAGGATGAAAAGGCAGGTAAGTTTTTTTTTTGATGGGTGAAAATGGTATGGTAACCCCGCCTGCGCTAACGGGATACGATGGCGGAGCACCAGTGAATGAGAACAGGCCAGTTAGCCCATCATGATGAATTCATCAGGAATTAACCATGATAGTTTCCAGGGGGAACCGCTAGGAGGTCGACCTGGTTGGGTATATTGCTAGCAATAGGATTCTCAGTCTCCATTACTAACAATCCCTTTCCCCCCAAGGCAGGTAAGTTAGCTCATAGTGACGAATCCAATGATAAACTAGTCACGATGGTTACAGGGTACATTGCTAGCAATGGGGCTGGTAATCCGCATTATTAACAATCCCTTCCCTCCCTCCCCAGCAATGGTGTCCAACTCATGATCCTTGGAACTTTGTGTTTCATAACTGGACTGTGTAGTACTAGGCTAGCATAATACCTGGGAGGAAGGTATTGTTAGTAATGCGGAGGTAAATCCCCATTGCTATCAATACACCCTATCAAGTCGAACCACGCGGTTCCCCCTGGACACCATCGTGGTTAAACATGGAGGAATTTGTCACGATGGACTATATGACCTGCCTTTCCATTCTCACCTATCACCACTTACTAGTACTCCGCCAGCGGATACCAATAGCGCAGGCGGGGTTACCATGTCATTTTCACACATAAAAATATTTCTTTTTTTTTTTATACAACTTAGAATGGCAAACAAGCTGACGGCCCACCTAATGGAAAGTGGTAACCGTCGCCTATAGACATGAGCAGTACTGTGGACATAACAGAGTATACTGTTTCGCCCATGATACCCCCCCATGCGTTGCCATTCCTGAGGACTCAGGTGTTATTCCTCTGTACCCTGTAAATTCACGCCATATCCCACCCTTCAAACCGAAACACAGCCATGCAAACACAACTGCTTCACGGTAGAAACACGAACGGGACAGAGGTATCCAAGCAATCGACTTTTGTACAAAGTCTCCCTCTGGTAAAAAAAAGCATAATACCTATTTATATATAAATAATTGAAAATAAATTATATATACCTTTTTGATTTGCTGATTTCCCCTCCATATTAACAGTTGGAGATCCACTGTTCTCTCTGCTCTTCACTTTTAGGTTCTTTTCATCACCTTTAGACAATTTCCCATCATCTTTAGCTCTGCTAATATTTTCGTTTCCCCTCATACCACTGGTCAATTGTTTTGAACTACTTTCCTTTGATGTGATCCTAGTACTTTGTGTTTCAGTTTTACTTTGTAAATCATCTTTTGATGTACTTGCGCTGAAACAGGGAATACCGGGTCACTCAAAATGTATTGCAAGAAATAGTTTTTATGTATGTGAGACTGGCCAGTTATAATTTATTTAAAAATATGATTATTTATAAGTACGTTATAGGTACGTTCTAAATTCAAAACTTCCCTGCACATTTTTTGCGAGCTAATTAAAATTACCGTGTCTCATTGAAAAATGGATTACCAGAGGGAGACTTTGCACAAAAGTCGATTGCTTGGGTACCTCTATCCTATTCATGTTTCAACCGTAAAGCAGTTGTTTGCATGGTTGTGTTTCGATTTAAAGGGTGGGATATGGCGTGAATTTACAGGGTACAAAGGAATAACACCCGAGTCCTCAGGAATGGCAACGCATGGGGGGTATCATGGGCGAAACAGTATACTCTGTTATGTCCACAGTACTGCTCATGTCTATAGGCGACGGTTACCACTTTCCATCAGGTGGGCCGTCAGCTTGTTTGCCATTCTAAGTTGAATAAAAAAAAAATGTCCGCTAAGCGGACGCGACACAGATGCGCACTTTTTGTCGCGACACAGTTGAGAGGTTACAAGTAATTATCCAATATTACTTTTTTGTATAACGGACTTTAACATATTCGTTATTGGACCAATATATAGATGTTGTAACTAAAATATATAGTTATAACTTTTTTTTTTGATGGGTGAAATTGGTATGGTAACCCCCGCCTGCGCTAACGGGATACGCTGGCGGAGCACCAGTGAAGGGTGATAGATGAGATTGCAAACAGGCCAGTTAGCCCATCATGATGAATTCATCAGGAATTAACCATGATAGTTTCCAGGTGGAACCGCGAGGAGGTCGAACTGTTTGGGTATATTGCTAGCAATGGGATTCTCAGTCTTCATTACTAACAATCCCTTTCCCCCCCAAAGATATTACTATTACCCATCCCTAGTACCTAGTTACACATACTCACCCACCGCTCCCTTCTGTAACCGGCTCATACAGCTTCTTCTCAACGATAACCTCGAGCTGTTCCTTTATCATGTGCCGCTGGGAGCTCAGGTGTTCCGGTATTGGGTACTCACCACATCCAGAGTACGCATCTAGTATCGATTCCACTGAAATATGTAAAAGCATATATTAAATCGCCGTATATACCTTCTAAGTCCCGAGATGGAATAGACCAACCATTTCTTTCCCATGGATGTCGTAAGATGCGACTAAGGGAACATAATGGTTAAGGGATGGGCAGCAGCGTTCTTCTATATATATTCTTTATTGCATTTGTAAGTTACAAATAAAATTATGTATTTATAAATGTTGTGAGCAAGCGTGGACTTATCTCTGACAGAGATCTCTTCCAGTCAACCCGATACAGTGAGAAAGCATTTCGTCAGCGGGCAGCTGAAGTGCTACAACTAATCATACATAAACAAATATACAGTTAAATAAAATATTAAAATATATAATAAAACAAAACAGACACTATAAATACATATAATACCTACCCACTTACATAATAAATGTTAAAATAAATTAATATACTACGCACATTAGAAATTTAGTTTAATGATTTTAAGATTTGACAGTTCAATTAGAAGAATAAAAAAAATATTACTCAAGGGAAAGAAAATGTGATTTCAACGCATGGGGGGTATCATGGGCGAAACAGTATACTCTGTTACGTCCACGGTACTGCTCATGTCTATAGGCGACGTTTACCACTTTCCATCAGGTGGGCCGTCAGCTTGTTTGCCATTCTAAATTGTATAAAAAAAATTTCAATTTAATATTATACTTATTTGTATGTTTATCCCTTATTTCAGACACAATGTACATTGTTTTTTGAATAAATGACTAATGACTTCAGGCAAATTATTATATAGACTAGTATTAACCATTCAGAATCGGGGGGAAAAGGGATTGTTAGTAATGGGGTCAAATAGCCCCATTACTAGCAATATACCCTGTCAGATCGACCTCCACACATGGTTCCCCCTGGAAACCATCGTGGCTAATTCTAGTAGAATTCGTCAGGATGGGCTAACTGACCTGTTTTCATCCTCATCAGTCACCTCTCACTGGTGCCCCGCCAGAGTATATCGATAGCGCAGGCGGGGTTACCATACCATTATCACCCATTAAAAAAAAACCATTCAGAATCCAAACTGTGAAAGTGAAAAAAAAATCTTCAGAGATCTTCACTCCCATGAATGAATGAGCTCCTTGTTGAGGTTTTTTCAAGAGAATACAGCATGGGGTTCTTAAAAAAAGAGGCAAAGAAGTTTGTTCACACTTAACAATACAGGTGTGATGCTCCTAGTATTGCAGGTGTTCATAGGATGCAGTAACTGCTTACCATCAGGTGGGCCGTATGCTTGTTTGCCAACTTAATAGTATCAGAAACAAATTAAATGACATGAAATAAATTATACTAACAGTGTCTGTGACTGAACTCCCTAAAATGCACTGGATTCATTCTGAAACATTTTTCCCCATAATTACATTCTTTTTTCACTCTCTTCGGCCGTTCATCTGCTGGAATAAGATACAAATATTATAATTAGTACAATTTAATCTTAACCCTTAAAAGCCTGATTTTTTAAATCAAATTAAAAAATATATAAGTGTACCCTTTACTATGTAGTAAACAGCACACTTTGGGGAAAAATAGTAAAAAAATCAAAATGATATTTTTATATATTTATTTTGAAAAAAACATTTGGTAACATGTAAACAGCCAAATATTAAAATAAAATCGATTGTAGGCGCCCAATGTGATTTATAACCCCGGTATCAAATTTGAAACTTCAGGTATTTAAGGGTTAACAATCAGATGCCAGATTATCGAGGCTGTGTGGTCCCCGCATAGAATAGGCCACCCCTTCCTTTCCTGTGGGTATCATAAGGGTGACTATGGGAGGGCAGCAACATCCTCTTAAAACATGTCTAAAGCCTTACTACAGTTGCCTATCTGTCTGCCAAGCGTCGCAACTACTGCTAAATTTTTCATTGTTACCACACAGCGTATCCGATAATGCTGGCAGAGTTACCATTCCATAGTCATCCATTTATTCATAAAAAAAAACATGCTTATAAGTCTTTTTAGTTTGAATTTGTTTTTACTGTTTGTTGCTGTAATGGCAATAAATATTTTAAAAAAAGTTTTAAAAAAACAGGTTCTATACGAATTAAGTTATCAATCACTAGTCTTGATTCGCCTGATCTTCGGCATAGAGAAAAAAAAATAAAACAGCTTTGTGTTTTTATGAGAAACAAAATGAAACTGTTTCGAAGTTCCAATTACCTGACATTGGAGATATTCGTTTACTCATGACGTTAATTAAAAGGACATTTAAAATATTAAAACCTAACTAACAAAGTAGGTAATGATTATAATTCTATTCGATTGAATAAAAAATAAAACATGATATAAAATTGGGAATTAAAATTTGAAATTATATTAACATTTGACAACATATCACAGAGAAATTTATAACACCACGACTCAATAATCGTTGCCAGATGTAAATTTTTATTCTTACACAAATTTTTTTTTTCTCCAAATCTGTACAATTTCCTATATGTTTAGCCATTTATGAACTTGAATCGATATTTACCACATTTTGCCATGTGCTGCAAAGCAAACAATGAAAAATGAAAAAAAAATATTCTCTTTTATTCTATCTTTTGTTTTATTACTTGGTTAAGTCACTAAGATATTTTTATTATCCAATAGAATTTAATAATACAATTTAATTTATTTTTCTCTTATTTGGTATGATTCAGATACCTATTTTATTATTGGACTTCTATTGACCAAGTCTTCTGGTTGAGATATGGACTGGAGACTGCATATATCTATAATTGTTATACATATATATATGTATAACATTATATATATATATATATATATATATATATATATATATATATATATATATATATATATATATATATATATATATATATATATATATATATATATATATATATATATATATAAGAAAAGTCGATTGCTTGGGTACCTTTCGTGTTTCGACCGTAAAGCAATTGTGTTTGCATGGCTGTGTTTCGGTTTGAAGGGTGGGATATTGCGTGAATTTACTTGGTACGGAGGAATAACACCTGAGTCCTCAGGTCAAAAAAAAATTGGCCACCAATAAAACAAATCTCTTTGTGTTTTAAAAAAAAATAATCGTCTTATGTTTTTGTTAAAAATATATGCGTACAATGCGGTTTCAGAGATGTTTTCTCCCACGAACGCTCAGATTATGGAATAAGCTCCCTGTTGAGATTTTCCCAAAAGACTACAGCATGGGATTTTTCAAAAGGGGGTTAAAGAGGTTTCTTCAGGGTCAGCAACGCGCGCGTAATACCTGTGGTATTACAGATGTTCATAGGCTACGGTAACCACTTACCATCGGGTGGGCCGTATGTTTGTTTGCCACCACAGTAGTATAAAAAAATATATAAAACAATCGAATTGTTAAAAACTGTCGCGTGTGGTGTTTCTTACATCTTTTACTAGAAACTGTTTCTACATCTTTTAGCCTGTCGCCTTAATCGCCTATATCGGGTATTATTGTTTTACGGGTAGTTGTTATTCCGTAATCAGAAAATTATATATATGAAAGAACACCCTTATAAGGTTGATTAAATGACTATTTACACATGGCTCTAGCACCTTAATTGTTTTTTTTTTATTTATATAGAAATATACAATATATAAGTACCAAAATTAAGAGGACAAGGGATTATTAGCAATGCAGACTACCAGTCCCATTGCTAGCAATATACCTTCCCCTAGAAACCTGAAACTCAGGTGTCATTACAATGGGCTAACTGACCTGCTTTTTCATTCTCACCTGTCATCCCTCACTGGTATCTCGTTAGTATATACCGTTAGGTCGGTAAGGTTGCCTTTCCATTATCATTTATTAAAAAAAATACCAAAATTTACAAAAGTTTCTTCAAAAATGTATACCAAATTTCTTAAAAAATGTATATTGAAAATCTATACTTATAATAAATCTGTAGAGAAGTCAATTCTGTACATGAAATATATTTCCAAAATAACTATCAGGGGGTGAATAGTGATCGATACTGATGCCAAAAATGCAATCAGTAAAATTTTTCTCTGTCTGTCTGTATGTTCGTTATAGAATCAAAAACTACTTGACGGATTTTAACAAAACTTGGTACAATTGTTCTTCATACTCCTGGGCAGGTTATAGTATACTTTTAATCACGCTATGATCAATAGGAGCAGAGCAGTGAAGGGAAATGTTGGCAAAACGGGAGAAGTTACTTCATTTTTAAGCTTCCGTCGCGTGTGCCGCCTTAATGGTCACTTTTTAAAAAGTAAAAATGTCCAACCGTGCGAAGCCGGGACGGGCCGCTAGTTGCGAAATAAATATCTAATTTATTAGCAAATAATTTGGCAACATTGGACTTAATTCACGAAAAAGATTATAGTCTGACACTGACATATGTCACAGATAAAAGTCAAAACAAAACAATTAGTCTCTCTAATCTGTGCATCTATAACAGAAATAAAAAATATATTTAAAAAAATTAAACAAATTAAACCGTTAATTACTTATCTATCATAATATAAACGTTTTATAAATTACAAATTATTTAATTAAACATCCTTTCTAATCTGTGATAATAATAACAGCTTGAAACCTATCGTAAGTACACTCCTGAGTCCAAATAGCTTATAAGTATTTCTCGTCGTTTAATTTGTAAGATATATTAAAGACAGTTTAGTGCATCCATGCTTGCAAATATTTACTACGTATTTACAGATAATTTGTCATTTTACAATCATTACTGTGTGATAAATGGACAATATTAAGAATGAAGTTTTTTTTAGTGGGTGATAATGGAATGGTAACCTCGCCTGCGCTATCGTTGTACCCTGCGGTGCACCGGTGACGGCAGTGATAGATGATAGGTGAGGATAAAGCAGGTCAATTAGCCGTCGTGACGAATTTCTCCATGGTTAATGATGGTTTCCAGAGGGAACAGCGTGGAGGTCGACCTGTTAGAGTATATTGATAGAAATGGGGATTAACCTCCCCATTACTAGCAATCCTTTCCTCCCCAGAATGAGTATATGGAGGAAGTATGAAAGTAGCATACATGATAAAAAAGTTAAGGAGTAATTGTCCTATCCTGGTATGGACACATGATGCGCCAGGATGAGGAGCATGTTTAAAGAAAGGTGTTAAGTATGAATGTGGATGGCTATATGGGCAGAGGAAGACCAAAAACGACATGGATGGACTGTGTGAAAGATGATATGGCCAGAGTGAGAGTGAATGTGGAAATGACTGGGAATAGAGAAGAATGGAAGAGAAAAAAATATTACACTGACCACAAATAATAATTGGGATGAGGGTAGGAAGATGAATCAATACCGTAGCAGCTAGTTTCCAGACTCCATGACTCGTACAAGTGTTCCTGGCTACAGTAACATTTCATGGCACCAAATTAAAAACTTAGACATTAAAAAAATAACCCCTAAATGTTATTTCATTTGAAATTTTTGAAAACTGTATGGTAACCCTGCCTGCGCTATCAGTATACACTGGTAGGGTACCGGTGAGAGGCAATAAATGATGATGAAGCAAGTCAGTTGGCCTAATAATTTCCAGGGGGGGGGGAAGGTATTGTTAGTAATGGAGACTGAGAATCCCATTGCTAGCAATATACCCAACCAGGTCGACCTCCTCGCAGTTCCCCCTGGAAACTGTCATGATTAATTCCAGATGAATTCATCATGATGGGGTAACTGGCCTGTTTTCATTCTCATCTATCACCCTTCACTGGTGCCCCGCCAGCTTATCCCGTTAGCGCAGGTGGGGTTATCATTTCATTTTCATCCAATAAAAAAAAAATGATTTCCAGGGGGAACAGCATGGAAGTTGACCTAATAGAGTAAATTGCTAGCAATGGAATTGCTAATGTCTATTACTAACAATCCCTTTCTCCCCCCCTAAACACTTGTTTAATGGAGGACAATGGAATAGTAACCCCACCTGCACTTCTAGTATACACTAGCAAGATGATATACCAATCAGAGATGATAAGTAAGTGATAAGTGATAAAATTCAACCATAAAGCAATTGTTTTTGCATGACTGTGTTTCACTTTGAAGGGTGGGATAGTGCAGTGAATTTACAGGGTACAGAGGAATAACACCTGAGTCCTCAGGAATGGCAACGCATGGGGGATATCATGGGCGAAACAGTATACTCTGTTATGTTCACGGTACTGCTCATGTCTATAGGCGATGGTTACCACTTTCCATCAGGTGGATCATCAGCTTGTTTGCCATTCTAAGTTGTATAAAAAAAAAGTGAGAATGAATGCGAGTCAGTTGGCCCAATGTGAAGAATTTAAAACAATGAGTTCCAAGGGGAACTGCGTGGAGGTAGACCTGATAAGGTATATTACTAGTAACAAGGCCGTAAGACCCTCTCATTAACAATTCCTTTCCCCCCTCTAAATGTTTAAGATACAGTGTTAAAAGAATATAGTAATCTATAGGTTTTTTAAAGCACTTTTGTTTTGTTTAATGACAAACAAGCTGATGGTCCACTTGATGAAAAGATAACCATCACCTATAGACAGGAACAGTACCATGGACATAACAGAGTTTGCTGTATCGCCCATGATACCCCCAAGCATTGCCATTCCTGAGGACACAGGTATTATTTCTCTGTACCCAGTAAATTCACGCTATATCCCACCCTTCAAACCAAAACACAGCCATGCAAACACAACTGTTTCCCAGTAGAAATACGAATGAGATAGAGGTGTCCAATGGCCAGTGTTACGCACAATGGCCCAAATGAGAGGCTAAGTGCGGAAAATGGAGTCCCTTTCACATTAGAGGTGTCCAAGCAAATGACTTTCCTACAAAGTCTCCCTCTGGTGAAGTAGTAAGGTGGCGAGGATTTGTCTGAGAGAACACAGGCTCCTTTTATAAAGGCCAGGCCTCTGGAAAGTAAGATATGGCAATACAACTATCTGATATTTACATGTCTCTGTTAATATTCCAGCTGTGAAACATGGATGATCCATTTGTGACGTGCCCTTACAACGCCTGCCACAGAGTGTCCCGTTCCCGTATCCAAGCGCACTTGGTGAAATGCCAGAAAAATTATCCAAAACTCGACATCTGTCCGTACAACGCCACGCATCGCATGTCCAGCGACGAGATGAAGCAGCACGTGAAAATATGCACCAACCGATCCTCGTTCTTCCTTAAAGAAAAGCCACTAGTGACTGGTGCTATATCAACACCGAAGCGGATATTGCAGAAGGAGTACCTTCCAGAGACTGATCCCAACCATGAGATGTGGGACGATTAATGTTTCAAGTTTATGTTATCCTAGTACATTTTCTCTTCCCTTCCCAAAGAGGGTTGACGTCAAGCAGGTGGCCGGTCGTAAAACTAAAAACCAAATCTTTTTGTAATATGGATAAAATCATATTACGCCGACCCCAAATGATTGGGATAAGGGTAGGAAGATGATGAGATGATGTTATCCTGGTACATTTTATAATTTTAGTATTATAATTAATTTGTTAAATTTCTAGTTTCTAAATTAAAAAAATACATTAACTATCATTAACATAATTGGCCGTGTGGTCCCGGTATAGAATAAGCCACCCCCTTCTTTCCCGTGGGTGTCGTAAGAGGCGATTAAGGAGGGCGAGGGATGGGCAGCAGCGTCCCCTCTTAAAACATCTCCAAAACCTAATTGCAGTTGACAATCCACCTGTCAAGCGTGGCAACTACAGGCAAAATCCCACTAGGGGGGAGGCTTATGTCCAGCAATGGACAGCTAAAGGCTGTTATATTTATGATTAATGTTTTTATTGGTAGTGAGTTTATTAAAGAGTCATGGAATAGTATAACTAACACTAACATACGGTAATTAACTTGTTTACGATTAAATATAATATTAAATATATGATTTTTACTGGTAGTGAGGTTTAGGTAGAGATGTTTTCTCCCACGAACACTCAGGTTATGGAATGAGCTCCCTGCCGAGGTTATCCCAAGAGATTACAGCATGGGGTTCTCCAAAAGGGGGGTAAAGAGGTATCTTCAGGGCCGGCAACGCGCCCGTAATACCTCTGGTATTGCAGGCATTCATAGGCTACGGTAACCGCTTACCATCGGGTGGGGCGTATGCTTGTTTGCCACCTCAGTGGTATAGAAAAAAAACTCGAATGATGTATATAAAAAATATATAATTTTGTATGTTTGTATTTAAATCGTTTTTTTTTTTCATTAATTTAATCCTCCCGTAAGCTAAAGAGCCTGTCGCCATCTGTCTTCTTAATACAATACACAGGAACTAGCGACTCGCCCTGACTTTGCACGGGTTTTCTCTACTCTAATTTGCATGTATTATATATGTTCCTTTCCCATGGGTGTTGTAAATAGCGACTAAGAAAGCTTATGGTGGAGGGATGGGTAGCAACATACCTCTTAAAATATCACCAGAAGCCTGACAGCGGTTACCAACCCGCTGCCAAGCGTGGTAAGTATAGGCAAAAACCCCCTTATGTAGCCCTTATGGTATATACAGGCTATGGAATGAGCTCCATGTCGAGGTTTTTCCAAGAGACTAAAGCAAAAGGTTCAAAAAACGGGAAAAGAGGTTTCTTCAGGGTCGGCGACGCGCGCGCGTAATGTCTCTGGTATTGTAGGCGTTCATAGGCTATGGTAACCGCTTACCATCAGGTGAGCCATACGCTTGTTTGCCATCTCAGTGGTATAAAAACATTATTTTTTGCAACTTCAATTTTATATGATGTCAACTAATTCAGGCAGGTAAAGCCACGGGATAAAGCTAGTCAAATATAAAGGCATTTTTTTATAGGAATGTATTTTTATTTCAACTGATTTATATATATTTTTTTAATAAAGTAAGTAATACAAAGTTTTATCACTCGTTCGTCGGCGCAGCGGCTCGCAGTGACTTCTCCAAGTTTTTGAGTGATGGCGTGACATTGGTTCCAAGATCTTCCACCACACTGGATAAGTACACTGCAAATATCAATATAAAGATTATGGATAGCAAGCAATATAGCAATTGTCTTGTCAGATTTTTTTTCTTGATACTTGATGCAATCAAGTATCAAGAAAAAAAGAAATTCTGATGAAGCCAACGACCGACCGCTATATGCCATCTGAAACTAACCGATATGCAATCGAATAGTATTAATCGATTATAATGAACAATTCATACGATTATCGAGTGCTCCGCACTAGAGATCCGGACATGAATCCTGGAAAGACAAATTAATTGACCTTTTTTCTAGAGTCCCTTCGGATAACGGGTCCTGCAGACCCGTACGTGGCATTTCATGGAATGATATTACTTATGCGTGAGCCACTGCCTTCCTTTATATTAATTCTTAAAAGCCTAATTTTTTAAATCAAATAAAAAAATATATGTGTACCCTTTACTGTGCGTACTAATGGGGGAAAATAGTAAAACAAACGATATTTTTTTTATATTTATTTAGAAAAAAAAAAAACATTTGGTAACATGTAAACAGCTAAATATTAAAATAAAATCGATTGTAGGCGTCCAATGCGATTTATAACCCCGGTATCAAATTTGAAACTTCCGGTATTTAAGGGTTAAATCCGTCCTTTTTATTAGTTCTTGCCCACAAGTTCTATCCCATAATCTCCTCCGTTCGGGGGATAGAGATTGTTAGTGATGGAGATTGAGAATCCCATTGCTAGTAATATACCCAACCAGGTCGACCTCCTCGCGGTTCCCTCTGGAAACTATCATGGTTAATTCCTGATGAATTCACCATGATGGGCTAACTGGCCTGTTTTCATTCTCATCTATCACCCTTCACTGGTGCTCCGCCAGCGTATCCCGTTAGCGCAGGCGGGGTTACCATACCATTTTCACCCATTAAAAAAATATCTCCGTTCGGTTGACATGCAATATATTTTTTTATTTGGAATGGCATATTATTTATTTTATTTTCAATAGACAAAAAAAAGGTAAGTTCTTAATTTGATTTATATTTTTTATTATAAAACACCTGAGTCCTCAGGAATGGCAACGCATGGGGGGTATCATGGGCGAAACAGTATACTTTGTTATGTCCATGGTACTGCTCGTATCTATAGGCGACGGTTACCACTTTCCATCAGATGGGCCGTCGTCAGCTTGTTTGCCATTCGAAGTTGTATAAAAAAAAATTGTATACAAGAGTCCGTCGTGGTACCAGGACATCATAAATCTGCAGCATTGATAATAATGGGTTCTTACCGATATCAGTGAGGCACCGTTTCGTTCCAAGCGCGTCCATGTTTCGTATATTGAGCACCTTCTCAGCGTACTTGTCGCATGTGTGGATGCATACCTATGTATGTACAGACAATAAACTTGAGTATATACATATATATACATATCTGTCACGCCTGTCTCCCATTAGGGTAGGCAGAAACAATGGAACGCCAAATGCTTCGATTCAAACAAAACTCTCGATTCCTCCACTTTTATCAATCTTTTCATACACGCCTGCCGGTTATGGGTACTTTTAATTTGGCCCTTCTTCACACTTTCCATCAGGTGGGCCGTCAGCTTGTTTGCCATTCTAAGTGTCATACAAAAAATATGCGACCGATTCTTTTGGATAGTCACCAATCACCATTAAGGAGATGATGAGATGATGAAATCACGTCAGCAGGCACATCATGGTAAATTTACTAAGAATTAACCACGACGGTTTCCAGGCAGAACCATGTGGAGGTCGAACCTCGGACTCCTCTAGCCACAATATCTCATAACAATCAAGTACTAGGCTTACAGAACTGATAAAGAGTTAACAAAAACAAGTGCCACGTTCTTACCTCAGAAAGGAACTGCCACGGAGCCTGTTTCTCCGACAGGTGCATCTCCAAATGATGGGGCAGCGTCATCAGATATTGTCCGATCTGGAAAAGAACATCTGAATTAACCGACTGCGAAATTCTGGAGGATAAGTTGTTTTGAACATAAATTTTAATGAAAGATGAAAATGGTTATTTCATTAGAATTATTTTGTTCAATTTCGCATTCATTTTTTGGAACACTGGGCTCTGAGAAGTGATCTAATATTTTGCCTGAAGATACCTCGTTTAGAAGTCGAACACGTGTCGCAAAACGTGCGTGAACAAAATGGCAGTCGGAGGTTGATGGCTTACATGGAAGGTTGTGGAACTTCTGGTGGTAATCATCATGATCATCAAATCAGCCTTTTACTGTCCATAACTGAACATAAGCTTCCTCCTATGGGAGATTTGCCATGCTTGGCAGGCGGATTGGCAACCGCAGTTTAGCCTTTGGAGATGTTTTAACAGGGACGCTGCTGCCTCGAGCATTAAGTACCCCTAGTCGCCTCTTGCGACGCCCACGGAAAAGAAGAGCCCATTCTATGCCGGGACCATACGGCTGATTGACGATTTAGGATTTGGCTTCGCAATAAAACAGTATGTGGTTTTTCAAAAAGGGCGTATTAAGGTTTCTTCAGAGTCTGCAACGCGCACGTGACAACCCTAGTGTTGCAGGTTGCTACAGTGACCGTTTACCATCAGACGGGCCGTATGCTTGTATGCCACCTTTGTGGTATAAAAAAAAAACTAATACGGCGGCAAACCCGTGACGACAAAATCGTTACAATATCGTGACGTGTCGTTTTTATAAAAAAAAATGCGCCGTATACCTAGTTAATTTCATATAAAGTACCAGGAGATCAAAAATATGCAGGAGGTGTGAACATAACCAAATTACAGCGTCTGTTCGTAACATACCTTCGTAATGTACTCCTGAGGCGATAAGGAGAAATCTGGCAGGTCCGTGGAGAGAGCGTCGTTGTTGTTCCACGCAGCCAGTTGAGGGATCTCGTCTGAATATATATATATATATAAATATATAGGTAAATAAATATATATCCATACCTTTACAGAGTATAAAACAAAGTCACTTCCTGTCGTCTGTACGCTTAAATCTTTTAAACTAAACAACGGGCTTTAATGCAGTTTTCATCAATAAAACAAAATAATTGTGGAACAAGGTTTATGTATATAAATTATAGCACAGAAGAGCAGAGAACTTCTAAGATTTGTTATGTAAAGTCGTAAAAAACATTTTTGTGCGCTAAGTTAGCATACATGACTAACTTTTTTTTTTTCGTATGGATAATCTTCGGAAAGACCGTCCCATCTGCCGGAGGGAGGGCAGCTGGGGTGTGTGGGATTTTGTACCCACTAAAAACCACACGACGTACCTCGAGGCGCTTATGTTGGATCCCGGGTTCCCGTTTGTACGACTACCGAGTATCCAACGCGACGGCCCGCCCTGTAGGTGGTGTAGGGCAGGCCTCCTCTCTTAGTTAGGGTGGGGAATGTCCCTCCCACCCTACCATCACAGGAGGACACGGATACGTGCGCACACCTCCTAGGGTCATATGTAGGGTGTGCCTCAGCATACATGACTACCTAACCTTACGAGATTGTTGAGGGGAAACGGATTGTTATCAATTGGGAGGTATTGTCTATTGCTATCAAGTCGACCTCCACGCGGTTGCCCCTGAAAACCATCGTGACTAATTTATGTTCGAATTCGTCACGATGGGCTAACTGACCTGCCTTTTCATTCTCACTGATCATCCCTCACTGGTGCCCCGCCAGCGTATACCGATAACGCTGACGTCGTTATCATTCCATTATCATTTATTAAAAAAAAAAACGAGACTCAATGGTTAGCCAGTAGTTGCCATGTTCGACAGATGGATCGGCAACCACACATAGACTTTGGTGATGTTTTAAGAGGGATGTTGCTGTCCATTCCTCGACCATTAGGTTCTCATAGTCACCTCTTCCGACACCTGCGGGAAATGAAGGGGTGGCCCATTCTATGCTGGGACCATACAACATTGTTGGGCATGTTGTTAAGTGACTTGCAGGTTTTCAATATGAATTTTTTTTTACTGTGAAAGTACTTTACAACTTTTGTTGCCAAGCGTGGCAACTACTGGCAAAACCAGGGTAGGCCCATGTTTAGCAAGGGATAGCGGAAATGATGAAATTTTTTTTTACAAAACAGGGGACAAACGAGCTTGCGGCTCACCTGATGGTAAGTGACTACCGCCGCCCATGATCACCCACAATAACAACAGAATTGCAGCTATGCTGCCGGCCTTTTAAAAAGGAATATGCTCTTTTCTTGAAAGTTATGTTGTCGTATCGGTTCGGAAATACTGCTGCTGGAAGTTGATTCCAAAGAGTGGTTGTGCGTGGGAGAAAGTGCCTTGAAAAACGCATGATGAAAGTAAAAAAATGTAACGGAACTGACCTAGTAACACGTCAATGGGGTTCCTCAATATCGCCCTGGCCAGCGTCCGGAGCTGTTCCTTGGCGCGCCACAACTCAGCCGACGACTGCGGCTGTGACCGCAGGGTCGCGAGCTGCTGCCGGCTGTCCGGCTCTAGCACCAGAGACGGAAGGTCGGACAGCTGGTGTTCATCCTTAGGCTCTGCGATTGAGGGAGACTTTATACAAAAGTTGATTGCTTGGGTACCTCTGTCCCATTCAAGTTTCAACCGTGAAGGAGTTGTGTTTGCATGGCTGTGTTTCGGTTTGAAGGGTGGGATATGGCGTGAATTTATTGGGTACAGAGGAATAACACCCGAGTCCTCAGGAATGGCAACGCATGGGAGTATCATGGGCAAAACAGTATACTCTGTTATGTCCATGGTACTGCTCATGTCTATAGACGACGGTTACCACTTTCCATCAGGTGGGCCGTCAGCTTGTTTGCAATTCCAAGTTGTATAAAAAAAAATTTAAGGCTTAAGCTGTGTTCAAATTATTGTTACTATCTATGGAAGAATCTGCCATATCATCGAAAGACATACAATCATATTATGCTCTCCTAGTACTTATACTCTTAAGACCTGATCATCTTTTGTCATATTTATGCTGTTCAGAACTGATCATCATCCAGCTCTATCTGCTGTAATGCTGGCAGTGTGTCCAGAAGTAGAGAAACTGCTGTCTTCAACACCAGAGACTGACGCTACTTCTTTAGCAAGATATCCTATTCCATATTAACTAAGTCGTAAGCTTCGCCTGTGAGTGACGGTAAGACATGCAATGGGATTATGTAATCCTAGTACTACGCTGTTAAGAACTGATAGGCAAGTAGCTTTTGTTAGACATGCAATCATGTTATGTACTCCTAGTACTACGATATCAGAAACAAACCTTCTTCTTCCAACTCTATCTTCTGTCGCGCTGCTAGTGTGTCCAGCAGTACAGCAACTGCTGACTCGAGCACCAGAGACGCTGGGAATGTGTTGGACAACACGCCCGCTGTCTCGCCAGCCGATACAGTTGACAAGAACGCCGTTTCGATACGGCGACAGTGAGCGAAGATCATAGTGGTGATTGCGGATATGAAGTTCTGACGAAAGAGTATAAATTGTAAATATTCTCAAGGGAGGACCACGTATGGGTCGACCTGACAGGGTATATTGCAATGGGACTGGTATTCCGCATTACTAACAATTCCTTCCTTCCACCTTCCATATTATCCATTAATCTCTGACCACCATTGCGTCCACGCACGTTTTGCAGCCCGTGTTTCACCTATAGAAGAGGCCTATTCAGGGAAATTAATAGACCGGAGACTAACCGTTCGGCGCCCAAACTGCAAAACACCTTTCACACACTACACTTCCACAAAAGTGGCAAAACATAAGAAGTACTATGTACGACACAGTGTATTCTGTGACTTGTTTCTTGTAAAGGCTTCCACGTGTAACTCACCTCAATAGCAGGCACGTAGTATGGATATATAGCGATGCCGGCGATCTTCTTGGCCTTGCTAAATGCTGTCTCCAACCACCCTTCGCACCGTTCGGCGACCGTGAGAATCGCTCTTGAATGTTCTACAAGATTCTCCTGTGAATTATTTAGAGGCATTTTATATAAATATAGGCTTAACGAAACACCACCAAAGCCTAACTGGCAAAACTGGTAAAATGGTATTTACCGTGTCCTGTAGCTGCTTATCGTCGAGATGCTGACGCAGCAGGGCAGCCTGCATCTCGGAGTACCGGGGCAGCAGCTCGCGTAGGGGTGCGTACGCCGCGCGGCCTAATTCCCGAGCTGTCGCCGCCACCACTACCTCTGGATAGAATCTCTATGTCAGTTCTGACCGCCTGGTACCGCAAATGATCAAACGCGTGCAATAAACCGATTTTTTTTTATGTTAATCTTGTAAATTAGTGCCATACAAATTTTTCTTTTTCAAGTCAATACACTGATGGGACACTAGTGACAGATGATAGATGAGGACGAGAGCAGCTTAAATACGTGCGTACGCCGCCTGCCCTCGCGCGTTACTACACTAACCTTCTAGTAGGTGCTGCTCGCCTAGTACATAGACTAGCGAATCTAACGTCACACACTGGCGCAGGGGTGGAGGGGATTGTTGGTAATGGGTTCTAAAAGCTCCATTGCTAGCAATATAGGGTATAGGGTATACATGATCAGTATGCACTGATGAGACACTAGTGACAGATGATAGGTGAGGATGAGAGCAACTCAATTAAGCCCATCGTGACGAATTCCACAAGAGTGGGGGGGAAGGGTTTGTAAGTAATGCGATCTATCAGTCCCATTGCTAGCAATATACCCTATCAGGACGTGGTTCCCTGGAAACCGTCGTGGTTGATTCATGTTGTATTCTTTACGATGGGCCGACTGACCTGCCCATCATCTTCACCTATCATCTTTCACTGGTACCCTGCCAGCGTATACCGTTAGCGCAGGGGGGTCGCCATTCCATTGACATCCATTTAAAAAATCCACAAGAGTTAAATATGATGGTTTCCAGGAGGAACTGCCTGGAGATCGACCTGATAGGGTATATTGCCAGCAATGGGGGTGTTAGATCTCAATTACTAAAAATTCCCCCCCCCCCACGAAATCGCGGTTAATAGCTAGTTAATTATAACTGAAATACAGTTTCGTGTTACCAGGACAACATAAAGCGGCGCACCTTTATTTTGCCTGGGCGCGTCTACGATCCCCCGCATACACGCTATGAACTCGTCGATTTCCCTCCTCAAATCCGTCAATATTATGATGCCTTCGTCAGGTGTTGAGCACAATTTCAAATTTGCTGACACCACCTGGAAACACATATATTGATAATGTAATAAATAACCCATGATTAAGGGCCACGAATTGATCTTGTAACTAGACGACCACGTGGATTTCACCACGTCGAAATATATGAAACAACGAGAAAGTTTTATCAGAGGGAGACTTTGTACAAAAGTCGTTTGCTTAGGTACCTCTGTCCCATTCGTGTTTCATCCGTAAAGCAGTTGTGTTTGCATGACTGAGTTTCGGTTTGAAGGGTGGGATATGGCGTGATTTTACAGGGTACAGAGGAATAACACCTGAGTCCTCAAGAATGGCAACGCAAGGGGGGTATCATGGGCGAAACAGTATACTCTGTTATGTCCATGGTACTGCTCATATCTATAGGCGACGGTTACCACTTTCGATCAGGTGGGCCGTCAGCTTGTTTGCCAGTCTAAGTTGTATAAAAAAAAAAGTTTAAAATTAACTAGGATTCAAATCGTTGGATAAAATATAAGGTATACCTGTGTTGGAGACGGCTCCAGGGAAAGTAGAACATCTGTGTACAGCCTGAGTAGCTCTCCAACTGGGGTTTCGACTTTCAGTACGTTGGTCAACCATTCCACCTGAAACAGAAGTTAGGAACTATAACAGGGAGAGGGAGGGAGGAGGCCTATGTTCAGCAGTGAACAAATGATAGCTGAGATAATGATGGTGATGATGAAGGAGAGAAGGGAGAAGTTTGGGGCATTATATATTTATTATTAACTGTACATAACACTTGGCAAGGATAACACCTAAAGGCATTCTCTACCAGGCGGCCATAAGGCAAAAAGAGATGGTTGCTGACGGTTTTTTTTTTTTTACAACACAGGGGGCAAACGAGCATGCGGCTCACCTGATGGTAAGTGACTACCGCCGCCCATGATCACCCACAACACCAGCGGCATTGCAGGTGTGCTGCCGGCCTTTTAAAAAGGAATATACTCTTTTCTTGAAGGTTATGTTGTCGTATCGGTTCGGAAATACTGCTGCTGGAAGTTGATTCCAAAGAATGGTTGTGCGTGGAAGAAAGTGCCTTGAAAAACGCACGGTGGAAGACCGCCACTCGTCCAGATGATTGGGATGAAACTTTAGTTTGTGGCGGGTTGTACGGTGGTGAAAATCAGCAGCAGGTATCAATCCGAACAATTCCTCAGAACACTCCCCATGATAAATTCGGTAGAAGATGCACAGAGACGCAACATCTCTGCGCAGTTTCAATGGGTCAAGTCGGACAGTAAGGCGTTGACTATCGATAATTCGAGCCGCCCGACTTTGAATGCGGTCTAACGGAAGGAGTTGGTACTGTGGCGCTCCTGCCCACAGGTGAGAACAGTATTCCATATGCGGCCTGACTTGGGCTTTATATAATTTCAGGCGGTGTTCTGGCATGAAATATCGTCTCACCCTATTGAGCACTCCTAACTTTTTGGAAGCTATCTTAGCCTTCTCCTCCAGATGACCGCAAAACTGGACGTCGCAAGATATATCAACGCCCAGAATTCCTAGACTTGACTTTTTATCAAGGGAAGTGCCCTGAAAGTGAGGAGATACGACAAACGGCGTCTTTTTTGCGGTAAACGCGCAGACTTGTGTCTTTTTGGGGTTAAATTGGACAAGATTTTGTTCACCCCAGATCGAAACTTGATGGAGTGAAGTTTCGATTTCAGACACAAGTCTATTCCGGCACTCATCGGTATGTGCCCGCACACACGCACACACACACACACACACACCGCACACACGGTACTTTAAAATAAAAGGGAAACTATATAAAAACACATGCACAAATATAAAGTACTAGCAACCCGCCCCGGCTTCGTACGGGTGCAATGCTTGATGTGTATTTTTTAAACTGTTCAACACATTTAAGTCTGGTATATTGGTGTGTGTACTGCACTAAAATAGCTTACAAGTCTCACAGTATTACCGATAGAAGGAGCATCCATAGACTAAGTTTCTCTATCTAACTTTCTTTTTACCTTAGGATTCTAGCTCTAGTTTCTAGTCTAACTACCAGGCGACCAGCACCGGAGTAGAGGTATCCTGACAGGCGATACGCAATGAGCGGCGGTGAGCAAGCTTGCGCCGGTGTTTTTTTAATGGTTGATAATGGAATGGTAACCCCGCCTACGCTATCAGTATACGCTGGCGGGGCACCAGTGATAGATGACAGGTGAGGATGAAATGGTAAGTCAATTAGTCCATCGTGACAAATTCAACAATAAATTAGTCATGATGGTTTCCAAGGGAAACTACTTGGAGGAACCACGACCTGATATAGGTATATGATAGGGTATATTGCTAGCAATGGGACTGGTAGTTCGCATTACTAACAAACCCTTCCCCCCACTCTTGTGGAATTCGTCAAGATGGGGTTAATTGTGCTGCTTTCATCCTCACCTATCATCTGTCGCTAGTGTCCCCATCAATGCATACTGATCGTGTATACCCTATACCCTATATTGCTAGCAATGGGGCTTTTAGAACCCATTACTAACAATCCCCTCCCCCCTGCGCCGGTGTGTGACGTTAGATTCGCTAGCCTGTGTACTAGGCGAGCAGCACCTACAAGAAGGTTACCTGTTGCGGAGCGTCGGCGGCGAGGAGGCGCGCGAGGGCAGGCGGCGCGGGCGGCGCGGACGGCGCGGACGGCGCGGACGGCGCGGACGGCGCGAGGCGGCGCCAGGCGGCCAGCAGCCGGTGAGCGGCGGCGCGGCGCCAGCAGCGGCACACCGACACCGCGCGGCACATGCCCGCGAACACAGACATGTACACGGCAGTGCGCTCTGCGTGCACGAAACAACACGTCAGATAATAAAGAAAAATAGAGTTGGCTAAGCAAATTCTCCTCTCTTTGGTATTGAAACTAGTCGATGATGTTTTGAGCCGGTATCCGCAATTGGACGTATTTGCCTCCAACTTGCTGAAGTTTCGCCGGAGTGTTTGTGTTCAGAGATTTAAGATCTATAGTACATTACTGCAGTGGCCAGCAACTGAGGCATTGATAGATGAACGTGTAAATGTGGGCCGAGGCGAAGCCGAGGTGACGAATCAACGTCACGACACATCGTGACGAATTCAACGATTAATTAGTCACGATGGCTTCCAGGGGGAACCGCGTGGATGTGAAACAGATAAAATATATTGATAGCGATTGGTAAACCTCCACATTACTAACAATCACTTTCCCCTAAATTTGCTTGCTTGTTTGTTACGCTTTAACGCCTAAGCCACTAAATTTATTGACAAATATTGGTATAGAGATAGATGTGATCTTGGAGACGGTTATAGGGGTTATATTGCGAAAATCTTATAGGAATGTAGTGAGGGAGGGGTAATTTTTTTATTAAACTTTTTATTGTGTCGACCAATTTACTTCAAACTTTGCAGAATTATTTGTTTATAATTAAAGTATATATATTTCTCAAACTACTCTGTAATAATGGACGTGGTTTTTTTTTATAACTTTTTTCTCTCTACCCATACCAACAAGCAGAATTGTTGTAAAAAAAAATCTATATTAATAGAAGCGAAGCCATGAGTAAAAACTAGTATATATATAAAAAAAAATATGAATTAAATTGTAGCCATGAATTTGAAGTTGGCTAGATTTTTTATGGCATAAAATGGAATGGTTACCTCGCCTGCGCTATCGGTATACACTGTTACGGTACCAGGGACACATGACAGGCGAGGATAAAAACAGATTAATTGGTATACGGATCGTGTGGAGGTAAAGTTTTAAAACTAGATTCTCTGGTTTCTTCAGGGCCGGCAACGCGCGCGTAATACCTCTGGTATTGCAGGCGTCCATAGGCTACGGTAACCACTCACCATCAGGTGGGCTGTATGCTATTTGCCACCTCAGTGGTATAAAAAAAAAATTCTTAAGTTCCGGTAAGTTCTAGAAAGTTCTAAGTATGAGCGTTACTGACCAGCGTCCATCTGTGTGAGGGCGTCAATGAGCGGTGGACTGATGGCCGCCTCTAGCCTGTTATACAGGGCCTCCAGCTGAAGACGCTTACTCTCGTAATCCGGCGCCTCGCTCAGTACCTACAATTATATGGACTTTATTAGAACTGTGCCACAATGCGTGAAAGATGCCAGTCCCTGGTATGTAGGATGCGAGGGAACACCAACAGCGTTCTGAACATAACTGCAAGCAATGTAATGAAACGTTACATATGTTGCTAAAAAGAGACTTGGTACAAAAGTCGTTTACTTGGCCACCTCTGTCCCATTTGTGTTTCTACCGTGAAGCAGTTGTGATTGCATGGCTGTGTTTCGGTTTGAAGGGTGGGATATGGCAGTGAATTTACTGGGTACAAAGGAATAACACCCCGAGTCCTCAGGTATGGCAACGCATGGAGGTATCATGGGTGAAACAGTATACTCTGTTATGTCCATGGTACTGCTCATGTCTATAGGCTTTACAATTTTAGACGTAATACATTTAAATATATACAAAGAATATTAACAGACATTTTTAAGAGTAACTGTTGATTCGAGTGAGCTCCTCTCAACATTTAACAATCTTTCGAATCCTGCAGTTAAAAAAAAACTATTTAAAATAATATAAACAAGTCTATTTAAATAAATATAATTTAAACTTGCCACAATTGAAATTGTTTTTTTTTTTTTTTGAAGAATACTTTTTTTTTAAATGGATAATAAGGTTGACTGGGAGAGAATGCTTTTAGCATAAAGCCTGCCTTGTACACATACTTTTTTTTCTTTTTATACAACTTAGAATGGCAAACAAGCTGACGGCCCACATGATGGAAAGTGGTAACCGTCGCCTATACACATGAGCAGTACCGTGGACATAACAGAGTATACTGTTTCACGCATGATACCCCCCATGCGTTGCCATTCCTGAGGACTCGGGTGTTATTCCTCTGTACCCAGTAAATTCACGCCATACCCCACCCTTCAAACAGAAACACAGCCATGCAAACACAACTGCTTCACGGTTGAAACACGAATGGGACAGAGGTACCCAAGCAAACAACTTCTGTACAAAAATGTAGTAATAAATAAATAATGGCACAGGTACCTCAAGACTGGCGGTCATGGCAGCGACCTGTCCCGCCAACTCGATCAGCTTGTCGTTCTGGGTGGGCACGCCCGCCTCCAGTACTTCTTCCAGGGCGGTTGCAAGCGCCGCCCACTTGTCCGCCTCGCGAAGCGCCGAGGCTGCATTCTACAAATTTTATTTTATTGAGATACGTGGTTGAAAGAATTATTTACATCAAACTGTTTATAATTACTCCTCTCCATCCAAAGGTTGCCTGGAAGAGATCGCTCTCAGCTATAAGGCCGCCCATTGTTTTCTCACTGTGATCATGTCTTGTAATTGTTTGTATTTATAATAAGTTTACTATTGTAATCTTATGGAGGGAACAATAAAGAGTATCTATCTAATAATCCCTAGAATAGGCCAAAGAAGACAGGGAAGACCACTGACACCGTGGGTTACAGATATAAGGTGCATTTTGGACAAAGATAGCCAAAAACAGAATAGAATGGAAGACTCTGGAGGAGGCCTTTGTCTTTGGACAAGAGAGGGGTGACAGAACAGTTACTGATTGAATATTAATTACATTGAATTGTTTATTATGTTACTTCTTTTATAAAGTCTTATTATATTATTTTTATTTTTTAAACTTTATAAAAATTCTCATCTCCCCTCTTAAGGAGAGGAGATGGCAACAAACCCCCGGCAGAAGCACAGTCAGCCGGGGTTCAGGGCCCCAGGTAGAGAATCCGACGTACAATGCGGGCAGAATCTAAGAGCACCGCTTTCTGCATCTTTCCCATGAGTGAGCCGAGCCGCCTCGGAATCCCAACTATCTGAGATGTTGTTCCAGATTGGTTGGGATAAGACCGTTCACGTTCGGAATGATTTCGGTGGATGTCAACCCCCACATTTCGGTCACCTAGTGAGCCAATTCGAGATATTTTCTCTTTTTCTCGGTTTCATTATTATTATTAACTATCTAATAATATAAATTGATGTGTGGTCCTGACGTAGAATAAGCCAACTCTTCCTTTCCCGTGAGTGTCAAAAAAGGCGACTAAAGGAGGGCGAGGGATAGGCAGCAGCGTCCCTTTTAAAACATCTCTAAAGCCTGACTGCAGTTGCCAATCCACCTGCCAAGCGTGAAAACTCCTGACAAATCCCCCAAGGGGAAGACTTATGTCCAGCAGAGGACAGTTAAAGGCTGATGATGAAGATGCCTACCTCCAATCTGCTTTTAAGGTGGTCAATCCTCTGCAAACTCTCAATGGAGTTGCCAGTCTGCTCCTCAACATCCTGGACCTTCTGTTCCAGGGACAGCAGCTTCTGCTGCAGCAGCGCGCCCTCCAGTTGGAGGGACGACGCGTCTTGCAGGACCCGAGGTATTGATGTTAATATCTGTGAACAAGTTTGATATTCACATGAGAATCAGTACAGGGGGTAAACAGGACCTTTTATGCACCTTTTTGGTTTCCTTTTTAATTTTATTTATTTTTATGCAACTTAGAATGGCAAACAAGCTAACAGCCTCAGATGGAAAGTAGAAACCGTCACCTATAGACATGATCAGTACCATGGACATAACAGAGTATACTGTTTCGCTCATACCCTGTAAATTCACTGTCATATCCCACCGTTCAAACCGAAATATAGTCATGCAAATACAAAAAAACATATATTTTTTGTAACTTGAAGTAATTGTCATATTTTGTTTGTTCACTTCTTCTTCTGTCTTCTTCTCTTTTATGCTTTGTATACACATATATTTTGACAATATAGAAGATTATAAGATTATCAGACAGAATTTAAACTAGCACAATTAAAAACCACATAAAAACTAAAGATGTTACAATCACAGTTAAAAAACTTAAATGGAACTGGGCAGGGCATACAATTAGAGGGAGAGATAAATGGAGTAAAAAGATAATGTTTTGGTACACGAAAGACAAAAAAAAAGAAGAAGAGGAAGACCATATAGAAGATGGGTTGATGACATTAGGGCTGAAGCAGGTGGAATTTGGACAGGAGTTGCTAGCAATAGAGACCATTGGAGGCAGTTGGAGGAGGCCTATGTTATAAAAAAAAATGTTGTCTGAATAAAGGCTTATATTATTATTATACACATATATTTTAATAATTATATTACCTTTCTAAAGACATCATGTTTCTCTGGGATTCTCAGTCTCCATTACTAACAATCCCTTTCCCCCCAACCTGATAGGTTGTATTGTCAGCTAACTGACCTGTCTTTTCATCCTCATCTGTCACCCCTCATTGGTGCCCCACCAGTGTATACTGTTAACATGGGCGGGGTTCTTCATTGTCATCCGATAAAAAAAAACCAACATACTCGTGTACTAATTTAACTCAAATCCAATCAGTAGTTTTTGTGTGAAAAAGTAACAAACATTATGCATATGTTATTTTATTCATAACTTTATTTTCAATTTTGAGCGTATCTTACCAAAATAAATGCACAACTGTTTTCGAAAACATAACTCCGTTTTCCCAAAAGTTTTGTTACAGACTACAGCATGTGATTCTTCAAAAGAGCCCCCCTTTTGAAGAAGTTTTTTCAGGGTCGGCAATGTGAACATAATACCCCTGGTAATGCAGGTATTCATAGGCTACGGTAACCACTTACTATCAGGTAGGCCGTATGCTTGTTTGTCACTTAAACAAAAAATTATAAAAATAATATACCAGGACAACATAAGCAGAGAGAAGAGTCAATTACCTGTGTGGTAGTTTCATCTAAGGAGTTCGTCAACTGTTTCATATAGAGCTGCAGCCGAGACACAGTATTGGTCACAAACACCTGAAAAAATATATATAAATATATATTTTCTCAAAAGATTCGATTATATTGTCTCAAAAGCCAATAAAATGACTGGTTTCATTTTCCGAACCGCAAAACCTTTCCGAAATCCAATTAGTATATTAATCCTTTATTTTGCGCTTGTTCGAGCAGTTTTAGAGTATAATGCTGTCATATGGTCTCCCCAATATAGCACTCATATTGATAGATTGGAAGCTGTTCAGCGGCGCTTCCTTCGTAATTTAAGTTCAAAGCTTGGCATGAGACGTAAGCTATCTACATATGAAAGTCGACTAAATTTTTTTGGTATTACTACGTTAAAATCTAGACGTTCAATCCAAGATTTGAACACGCTATATAAAATTATAAACGCAAAGTGGGATGCTATCGATCTATTAGGCCATGTTCCGTTTAAAACGGAAGGTAATAAGAGAATATTAAAATTATTTCATGTACCTTATTGTAATAACAATGTAACTTTTAATGATCCTCTCTTCCGCATGTGCAGACTGTATAATAATTGTAATGAATTGGACATTTTTGCTTATAATTTAAATTCTTTTCTTAAAATGGCAAAAGAAGTGTCTGAGTTTAATATATAATTGTTCTCATTTTCTATAGTTATTATATATAATGTTGAATCTAGTATAAGCTAACGCTGTGCGTAGCAATTAATGGTATACAATTTTAAAACAATTAATTATAAAATTCATTATATTTAATTTAATGTGAATTGTAATACTGTTGCTGTGCCCAAATAAATAAATAAATAAATAAAAATATTTAAAAATAAAAATATAAAATAGAATATATAAAAATACAAAATAAATGAGAACTGAAATACTTACCTCTTTTTCTTGATTGCCGCTCGAACTCCACGCTCTGTTTATCCATTTTTTCGGATCGAAATCAGGTTCAGCGAATGTTTTTATATCCTAAAAACAATAATGTAAATTTAAATGATTTTTAAAATGTATTTGGAATTTTAACAATTTATGTTTACAGTCATGACATACCATTATTTTATTGTGTCTAAATTAAAACTAAAATTATTTACAATTATTTAAACTATTTATTCATCAAACAAAAAGAATACGGATTTATTTCATACAAATGTGAATAGTTTGTAAAATAAATATTTATAATTTTATATTATTATTAATTAAAAATAGATAAAAAAAATAAGCACTGTCGGCTGTCACTGTCAGGTATCAGTATAGACAAAGATTTCGGAATGTTCTTAGGTGATAACTATTCTATGACAATGTGTCATTCCTTCATTTTCATATCTAAGGACATTCCAAAATCTTTGGTTCATATTTTAAATATATGCCTACTTTCTTTAAACAAACAAAAAAGTTAAATATAAAATCAAACTCTGCAGTGCTGGAAATATCGTCACGGAGGATTCCAATACTTTTGGAGATAGCAATGGATGTGTTCTCGAATTGCGGAGCTATAGTAAATTAGGTTTTTTTTTAAGCGGTAAACGCACAAGCTTGTCTCTTAGATGGTTTAAATTAGACTAAGATTAGTGGTCCCCAATCTGATACTCTAGCAAGAGTACTCTCAATTCTCGAGACACAAGTTTAGGGTAGTCTCCACAACGGAGCGAGGGATATTACACGGCCCGTGCAGTATACAGCCCCAATATTGTCATCTGCATAACAATGAATGTTGACTGTAGCCAGCAAATCGAATATGCAGCAAAAACACCGTTCGGGCCAACACAGAGCCTTATGGGATGCCGGCATTATTGTCCATGCTGTCGGAGCTATTGCCGTCAACCACAGTTTTAATGCATTAGACGCATGCATGCATGCAGCGGACAGAAAGCTAACAATCCATTTGCACAATCCCTCGGGGAGTCCGTATGAAGGCAATTTCGACAGAAAATCATTATGCCAGGCCCGATTGAAAGCGTTTGCTATATCTAGACCAACCGCCAATGGCTCAAACTTACTCTCAACGGCAAGATCTCAGCGGTGTAAGGTATATTAGAAGATCACCAGTTGAACAATGGAGGCAAAAACCGTATTGGTGATTACTGACCAAATAGTGATTCTCTAAGTATCCAAGGAGCTGTGTATTGATTACACATTCCATCACATTGGAGAGAAGAGAAGCTATGGTGATGGACAGGATGCATAAGGATAGTCTTCCAGTTGGACGGAAGTCTCCCTGTGGAGTATGTAAGTGTAAAAAGACGCGTAAGTATTGGACACAACTCAGGAGCACATAACTTTAATACCAATGCCGGCATACCATCTCGGTCATTCGACATATTGCCGCGGTGCTTTAGATTTAGTTTCAGACATTATAAGGACTGGCTTGTAAGTAGAGATGGGCAATCCACCTGGGTGGGTTTAAAGTCTGGTGGGTAAAAACCGGGTGTTTTGGGTTTATTGGGTTTAAACCCCATAAACACCCAAATTTTTGGGTGTTTATGATTTTGTACTTCATCATCGTCATCTCAGCCGCAAGACGTCCACTATACTGGACATAGACAATATTATTATGCAGCCTACAGAATAAAAAACTTTTAATTTGATTTTGAGTTTATTAAGAAAGAGATGAAAGTAAAATGTAAAACTACAGTCAATCACTGTCAGATTCAGAGTTATTACAAGCGATGAATTGTATAGGTTCGATAGGCTCTATTTCGTCTAAACTGTTATGTTCATTTACTTGCTCAATGAAAGCTTCTAAGGTATTTTCTTCATTAAACTGAATGTCCTCGCATTCAGCTTTATGTTTAAGATTCCAGTTATAACAAATGAATGAAATTTTTTCAGTTCTTTCAGTTGTAAGTCGATTTCTTTTGTTATTATGTATGTAGCCTTGGATACTAAAGGAACGCTCAGTGGCTGCCGAAGTACAGGGAGCTGATAGAATACGAATCGCTACTTTGCTTAACTCAGTGGAACCACAAATACCTTTCCACCATATTAGGGGCTCAATGCTATCTAATGAGCTCCATACAAATCCTCTGGCCCAAAAGTTTTCTTTAGCTTTATAACACGCCAAATCTGCCATTACATTTGACAAACTTAAGTGTTGGCTTAAATTGTAGATAAACTCCATACCCTTAAGTTCTTCCTCTTGAGTAAGTTCGACTCCTAGAGTCCTGGGGTCTAGAATATATGCTGCAAAATGTATTGGCCTCATTGCCATATTGCATCTTGAAGATACTGATGTTAGAATCTGCTGTTTGCTTTCTTCGCTCAATGTCGAAATCTCATTTAATGCAAAACGTATCTTAGCTTGTACATCTCTAAATGTAATGTATGTGCGATGCAAACGATTCTGGTCGCTCTCTAAGTAAAATATGCTTTCAGTGACTGGTTCCAAAATACTTATACATTCCCCTGTCTTCGTCCAGAAATCATCACTTAGAATTAAATCTTTAATATCTCTTGAAATTACCACATCTTCTCTAACTGTTAATATTTGCAAAGCTATCTTATTTGCTTTCAAACTTTTTAACGAAGTAACATGACTTCCCCATCTTGTAGCACAAGGCAATTTTAGTGTTTGTGTAGAATCTTCACCCTGCCTTGATTTTATCAACAAGGAACTTAATCGTTGACTCCTTTTAACAGTTTTTATTATATTTATGGCTTGCATAATAAACACAGTTACTTCTTGTATCTTTACAATATCTTGGCACAACAAGTTAAGGATATGTGCACAGCAACCGAGAGGAACAACATGTGGATATTTGAGTTTTGTTAATTCGAATGCCTTTTGTATATTTCTAGCGTTATCGCCAATAAGTACAAGAAACTTATTTGCTCCATACACTTTCATTACTTTTTCAACTTCTTGGCTAAGGTATTCACTAGTGTGAGGATTACTTTCTGTATTCAAACTTTTAACGTATGCAGGTTGAGGTTTTGATATAAGAAAGTTTATTATTCCTTCATTTCTTAAATTAGACCAGCCATCGCACTGAAGGTGTAAGTAACTACAAGCATTTAGTTCCTCATTTAACTCAAAACGCATTTCTCTATATATTTTATCTAAGTATTTTGTCGCTAAAGCTTTACGTGAAGGTATTTTAAATTTTGGTTGCAATTTTTCGAAAAATTGTATCCATAAAGGATGTTGCACCATCGATAATGGCGTCCCTGTTACAAATATAGCTCTCGCTAATTCTGTTTTTATATGATCATCGGTGTCTTGAAACTCAGCATTTATTGTAGTGTTAGCAGACGACGAGGGGCTTATAAAAGAATCATTTGTCTCTATCTCTGACAGTCCAGACATTTTGGTTTTGGACGAGCTATCTTTTATAAGTTTCATAGAGTCTTTTAATGTTTCTGGAGATTTTGGACAAGTGATAAGATGTTGAAGCATTTTGGCAGCATTACTGAATTTGTAGACCTTATTACAAAGCTTGCAAGAAACAGACTTGTTTGGTAAAGTACGGTAGTGCTCCCATATGCGTAAATCTTTAGGTCTCCCCATTGAACCTAAAAAAATGAACGATGATTAGTTGGTCTGACGAAAATTCAACAATAGAGTGCCTATTTTTTTACAATGATTATTTCTTGTTATTTACAATAAATTTATTAAAAAAATAATAAAATAAATACAAAAAACCTTTGTAAAATTACATCTCCTCGGAGGATTAAACGCAGACGCTAGTTTATTATCGTATTGTTCTGTATTTTTCTCAGCAACTTCTTTAATTCGATTAGGTACTTACGCATATTATGTTAAAAATAAATATCTAGTACACATCTTAGGCTATCCACCATTATTATCCAATGACGACTCTCAGCTAACTATGCACTATCATCCAAAATAAACGTGTATGGAAAATTTTATCCCAGTCGGTTGAGGATTGAGGATAATTGCATCAACATACGAACATACCTACATACTTTTATTTACATAACGCAAGCTAAATAAAAGCTTGTAATAATACATCTAATTTTAAGTTAAAATTGTTAAGTGATCATGATATAATTGTATCATTCAAAAATCCACTTACCTTTAATTATTTCTTGTTAAGTATAAATATTATTTCAAATCTGCTCCCTTAATATGCACTTTTTTACTGCTTTTCCTACCTAACACGTTACCAGGAAGTCACGTTACCAGAGTCAGAGTAATAGTGAACACGTTTGACAGTGATTGTCGTCGCCTCATATTCAGCGTCGACGAATAGGGGAATCCCCAGTCATAATGTATTGCATGCGTGGCGGTCTTACTTCAAATCCATAAACAAAGAGATAATTACAGAACTCGATACTAGATGGCGCTGTTTTTGTTTGAAGAAAGTTTGCGGGCTAAAATACATAGAATTTCATCAATGACTTCCACAAAGAACAACATTTCTGTTTTTTCTAAGTCCGTATCTCTTCCGTATATTTCATAAGATATAAGCTTGGGCTACATTGTTATGCAACGTGATTTTGTCGCTGTCTTGCTAGCAGGGTTGACAGATATACGATTTAAATCGTACTCATACTATTATTTGTCTATTTTTTAATGTACGATCGTAAAGATTATGATCGTAATTCGCACAAAAACATACGACTTTTTGGTTACCTGGCAACATTTTTATTATGAAACGAACATGCTCACATCATCAGTCACATGCAACAATTTATTGGGGATTTCCCCTTCACATCTGGCAGTCCTGCTTGCTAGAATATAGGTAAGTCAGCCACAGTTACTGACGATCGATATTTAAAGGGTATTGTTTTTGTGCTAAATATTTCATAAAAACGTTATTTAATACTTTGTGGATTATTAATTTAGTTGATAATCACTGGAAGTAAAATGGATGCTAATTTGAGAGATCAAGATCTTCGTATAAAACAGTTAATAAAAGAAAATCTACGTAAGTACTCTTTTTATACCTAGGTAGGTAAGGTATAATAAACACAAAAGGTACTTAGATCGCGTGTGTTCGAAGCATTTATTCTAATAAATTTAATTTAAAATTGTAGAAAGAAAAAAATGTCTGCCAAGCCGTAGCCGAAGCCGATCTCCAAATATATTTGGTGATAGTGAGACCCAGTGTCCAGATGATTTACCCAGCGTCGTCGCAACAAAGAAAAAAACGAGGATAAAGTAAAAGAAAATTTACTGAAAGAAGAAACAAACTGTTCTAAATGCTTAATTTATGGAGAAGAGGATAAAAGAAATGAGTATTTCGGACTGTTAGTGGCTCAAGAATTTAAATATATACGGCCATGTGTGCGAACGAGGTGTTATGAAGAAATTTTAAAGTATCTACGGGAAGCAAAAGGCCAACATGTTGATCAACTGCAACATGAAAACACTGAAAATTAATTACTTTCATTTTATTATATATAGATTTTTAAAATTTCCTGAAATATTATTAGTTAACGTTTTATTTAATATTGTAGAATTGATCAATACAATTTATAAAAATAATTTATTGGTATTACTTACATATTTTCAAAAAAATACGTAAAAACCTATTTTTTTGGGTGATTATGGGAGTTTATGGGTGTTTATTGGGTTTTTACCAAAGCACCGGGTTTAAACCCGGTGCTTTGCCCATCTGTACTTGTAAGTGACGTATGGTTTTATAATCTGTGCTTGTCTATTCAATTCATTCAATTAAGTCCGTCAGTCATTGTTTTTAGAATATATGTGTTTCAAATATTCTAGTCCTATTTTCATTTTAAAATTGATAATAGAAATATAAATAATTCATAATAAATTTTTATTTAAACTTTTAAATATATGATTATTTAATTTGAGTGCAATATTAATTAATTGTGAATAACTTAATTATTAGTCATTGTAAAGGTAACATTTTTAAATTTTCCCTTCTGTTAAAAATTAACCTACTTTTACGTTCCAACATAATTTGTTTTGGTGTCACGCATGAGTTTTAACTTGAATGTAATTTGTATTTAACTGTAAATCAGACAAACAGTTTAAAATTTTACTACATTATTTCGATGAACAAGTTAACTGTTTACCATATTATTGTTTTCCTGGTATTTGAATATGGATTTCTCATACTCAAGTGCCAAAATCATGAACTGTCTGCATTCATAGTCGTCAAATAATAATAAAATAAATAATAGCGATCATAGTTTATGATTGAAGTAATTAATTTTTAATTTTTTTTTATACTACAATGCTGGCAAACAAACACAGTAACACTTTTGACAAAAAAGACTTGTAATGCAGTTTTATTTAAATTTAACACTATGATATGTATATCTAAGGTAATTAATTAAATATAAAGCCTATATGACCCAATATTTTTGTATATATATATTTTATGTTTTATGTAACTTAAAATGTCAAATAAACTGATGGGCCACTCCAATTGAAAGTGGTAACTATCGCCTATAGACATGAACAGTACCATGGACATAACAGATTATACTGTTTCACCCATGACACACCCATATGTTGTTATTCCTGAGGACTATGACAGTAGTTGGCATTCCATTTTCACCCATTAAAAGCCATTTTATTATGCTTTTTCAGTATCTGCAATAATGGGTAAGATAAGGAAACGTACCCAGTCAACAAGCGAGAAGAATGTGAAGGTAAAACCGTTGGGGCTTAAAATTTTGAAAAAAGACAAAGATGTTAACTCATTGAACAGTCTGTGTGCCTACAGTATTGTGAAATGTGACTTCTGTGAGGAGATCTTTTTTAACAAGCAAGTATTTTATTATTATTATTGAAAGATAGACTTTTTCAGCCAGAATAACCTTTTTTTATGCAAATTTGAATGGCAAACAAGCTGACGGCCCACCTGATGGAAAGTGGTAACTGTCGCCTATAGATATGAGCAGTACCATGGACATAACAGAGTATACTGTTTCATCCATGATACCCCACATGCGTTGCCATTCCTGAGGACTCAGGTGTTATTCCTCTGTAGCCTGTAAATTCACTACCATATCTCACTCTTCAGTGCTGCTAAGTACAAGCTAGTATACCAATATTTCATTTAATAAAGAGTTAAGTTTCCACAAAAAAAGACAGGAACACAGATTTAAAATGTAAGAAAAACAGTTATTTTGATATATATACAGTGGATTTTATTTATTACGCCCTTGGTTGTAGCGACCATTTGCCTATAATGATGTTAAATCTAAGCCCCTTGAATTTAAAGCATACTTTAGTACAAAATTCATGAGGCTATAGCGACTTTGGATGTAAAGCCGAGTTCGGGTGTAGCAGCTGTTTTTAATGAATCATTTGTAACAAATTCCTAGAAATCCCATGCAGACATTGCGACCGAAGTTGGCCGCCAAAGAGACACCAAGATTTCTTTCTTTTACAAACATTTCTAACCTTTTGTGTACATCCACACAGATGGTCAGCAAGTGTGGAGACCTTTACCTATTGTTTATAGATTTTTTTTTTACAACACAGGGGGCAAACGGTCATGCGGCTCACCTGATGGTAAGTGACTACCGCCGCCCATGATCACCCACAACAGCAACGGCATTGCAGGTGTGCTGCCGGCCTTTTAAAAAGGCATATACTCTTTTCTTGAAGGTTATGTTGTCGTATCGGTTCGCAAATACTGCTGCTGGAAGTTGACATCAGCTACGTAGGTAGGGAAGCGTGTACGTTTCGGAGTTGAATTTATGGTTCAGTTACAAAGTGATATTCTGAGTAGTAACTGAGTTTAGTAAACTTTTGGATAAGTATGACTGTCTCGAAGCACATTTACTGTTAAAGAAAAGGCGGAAAACATTTCAAAACGAAAAACGGTGAAAACAATGCTGATTTTTTTGAAGAAAAAACTATACATGTGTACGTGTCTGTATCTCTTTACTTTTTCCTGTAACGACTTCCGGATATAACGACAAAAATAGAGTGGTCCCTTCATCGTCGTTATACCCGAAATCCACTGTACTTCTAAATTGGTCCAATAGAAGTCTTATCAAAATCGGTTCAGTAATTTAGTTATTAAGTCATAGACAATATTAAATGCCACCTTTTATCATCGTACCGCTCACTATCGACAGGGACTTCATCCTCACACGCTTGAACCTAAATGGTCACGTACAGTGCGGTTTCAAAGGAATCATCTCCCGCGAACGCTCAGACTGTGGAGTGAGCTGCCTGTCGAGATTTTCCTTACAGACTACAGTATGGGGTTCTTCAAAAAAGGAATATTAAGGTTTCCTCAGGATTGGCAACGCGCACGTGACACCCCTAGTGTTGCAGGCGTCCATAGGTTACAGTGACCGTTTACCATTAGACGGGCTGTATGCTTGTTCACCACGTTTGTGCTGCAAAAAAAAAAACATAAGTGTGTTTGACTCATAATATTGAGAAAGGAAATTTAGGAATTGTACATCAAATCGTCTTTAATTACAAAATATTTGACAAAAACAAGTCTCGATACCAGCGCCATCTTGTATACCTTGTCTAATTTTTTGTTTAGTTTATAGACCAGTCGCCTTTTTTTAAACAAGGATCAATCGATCATGCGGCTCACCTGATGGTAAATGACTACCGCCGCCCATGATCACTCACAACACCAGAGACATTGCAGGTGTGCTGCCGGCCTTTTAAAAAGCAATATGCTTTTTTCTTGAAGGTGTACTATGTCGTATCGATTCGGAAATAGCGAAAGTTGATTCCAAAGAGTGGTTGTGCGTAAAAGAAAGTTCCTTAAAAAGTCTCCTTACATCTCCTGAGCGCCTGGTACTCACAAGCCTATTTCTTTTCAGATACAACTATTTAATACACAATGCGCGACATATAATCATACCTTTGATAAAGCAAATCGTCCACCAATGCACAATATGCCTTTACTATTTCACATCGGAACACAAACTGCTTCGGCATGTTACAAAAAAACATAGCAGTCAAAAATGTAACAATAACATAGATAGCGAATTGCAAACTGGCGAGTCGGAATCTTTAATTGTAAATATGGATAACAAAGAGTTGCCAGTACCAAAAACCGAGTTGTTGCAAGATACAAATATTTTGAATAATGGCAACACGGAATTGCAATATTTTGATGGCAACAGTGGTGGTATAAAGAATCGTATATTGTTCGAAGACGATATAGAATCTAATGGTGTGATGGCAGACTTAACAACTGACTGCCAAGTTGCAGTTGAAATGTTCAACGCGCCGTGGCTGGTTAAGCTGCTGAATCAGCAGGAGTTGCAGGATTTGAATGATCATAATGGTTCGCATGATAATGACGCCGCAAGCAGTGTGCACTATGATGAATTGATGGAGAGCAAATTGCACGTTTGTAAATTTTGTGGAGTGACCTCGAGTAATAGGTAAGTTCTTGGAAAGAGTACTCGTTGAAATCAACTCTGAATCGTCATATCAGCTGTTATATGTCCACTGTTGGACATAGGACTTCCCCTTTTGGGGGTATTTTGTCAGTAGTTGCCAGGCCTGGCAGTTTGGGTTGGCAACCGCAGTTAGGTTTTGGTGATGTTTTAAAAGAGACTGCTGCTCATCCCTCAACCAGAGGGAGACTTTGTACAAAAGTCGATTGCTTGAGTACCTCTGTCCCATTCGTGTTTCAACCGTGAAGCAGTTGTGTTTGCATGGCTGTGTTTCGGTTTGAAGGGTGGGAAATGGCGTGAATTTACTGGGTACAGTGGAATAACACCTGTGTCCTCAGGAATGGCAACGCATTGGGGGTATCATGGGCGAAACAGTGTACTCTGTTATGTCCATGGTACTGCTCAAGTCTATAGGCGACGGTTACCACTTTCCATCAGGTGGACCGTCAGCTTGTTTGCCATTCTAAGTTGTATAAAAAAATTAAAAAAAAAAATGCAGTGTGCATCATGCAACCAGAATGTCCATTAATAAATTTATTTTACAGATACTGGGCGATAAGACACGAATTGGAACACGTCACGATTAAACAAAAAAAACTCTATCTATGCCAGAAATGTGATTATTACATATCGGATCGTAAAAAGGAGCTAATGCAACACATAAAGAAGAAACACGGCGCCATCATCAAGCGGGATAGCTTGACACGGTGTCGTACATGTGGACTGGACTATAACTCCTTCTACAGGCACAACAGGAACTATCATCTGATTTACGGTTGCAAACTCTGCGGCGCAAAATTCTCAGACGAGATGCAATTAGACGAACACTGCGTAGACTGCGAGACGGTGGATCTCCATGTGCAATGCAACAAAGAGACAGGACAGGAGAGCGCGTACGAGTCGAGAACGATGAAGATATGCGATATATGTTATTCGTTTTTGAGGAATAAAGTCAATTTACATTATATATATGTGGGGGACCATTGCGAGATAGGTGACAGGTTGCCATGCGAGAAGTGTTCGCGGAAGTGTTTCGAGTTAAAGATTGTGAAGCGTGTGTATATGTCGAAGCATCATAGGAAACCGCGGCGGGTGATGACCAACGAGGACAGGTTAAAGAATATAAAGCAAAGATTAAAAATGATGAGAAAGTATTTGAGTTTGTTTTATTCTGTGGATTGTCGCGGTTTAAAAAAAAAGAGGTTCCAATTCTGTTTTTTTTTTTAATAATAATTACCTCATTAGATTCGTCAGAAATTCTACCATAAAAGTCCAAAGGAACGATATTTTAATATTCTTGGAATGAATGAAATTAGGTGAGCGAGATTATCTCAAGAGACTACAGCATGGGGTTCTTCAAAAGGAGGCTGAAGAGGTTTTTTTTATACAACTTAGAATGGCAAACAAGCTGACGGCCCACCTGATGGAAAGTGGTAACCGTCGCCTATAGACATGAGCAGTACCATGGACATAACAGGTTTCTTCAGGGTCGGCATCGCGCGCGTAATACCCCTGGTATTACAGGCGTTCATAGACTATGGTAACCACATACCATCAGGGGGGCCGTAGGCTTGATTGCCACATCAGTGGTATAAAAAAAATGTTAAACGGTATGTATTATGTAATTTTAACATCAAATTTTTTTGTTTCGTTCAAACCCGAAATTTTGGAAAATATTTATGAAAAGCCAACGTCAATTGGCATATCATGATGGATTTAATAAAAAAAATACCAAGATTTCGTGGGAACTGCGTGAAGGTCAACCTGGCAGAGTACATAGCTACCAATCTCTTACCTCATAATGTCTTTGCCCCGATACTTTTGAAGGATTTTCGTCTATTTTCGTCAATTTAATAATCTCTTAACGGCCATGTCTCCGAGATTAATTGCAAGCTTAGCGTCTAATAGAAATTGTACGACAGACTCATTGTTTGGCCATACGCCATAGCTAATTAGGCGTAAAAATTCGATGTACTCGGTACAGTTGGTTGCTTGCGGGTAGACATATTACCTCTATCAGCATATTTTTTTTTTTAATTAATAAATGATAATTGAATGGTAACCTCGCTTGCGCTAACGGTATACGCTGGCGAGGTACCAGGGAAACATGACAGGCGAGGATGAACGCAGGTCAGTTGGCCCACGATGGTTTACATGGGGAATTAAGGGAATTACCAGAGGGAGACTTTGTACAAAAGTCGATTGCTTGGGTACCTCTGCCCCATTCGTGTTTCTACCGTGAAGCAGTTGTGTTTGCATGGCTGTGTTTCGGTTTGAAAGGTGGGATATGGCGTGAATTAACTGGGTACATAAGAATAACACCTGAGTCTCCAGGAATGACAACGCATAGGAAGTATCATGGACGAAGCAGTATACTCTGTTATGTCCATGATAGTGCTCATGTCTATAGGCGACGGTTACCACTTTCCATCAGGTGGACCGTCAGGTTGTTTGCCATTCTAAGTTGCATAAAAAAAGCATACAAGAACTAGTACCTACTATGTATTTGTAAATGCAGAATAGAGGGAAGGGATTGTTAGGAATGCGGACTACCAGTTTCATTGCTAGCAATGTACCCTATAAGGTCAACCTCCATGCAGCTCCCCCTGGAACTATCGTGCTGGATTCCAGATGTATTCATCACGATGGGCTAACTGACCTACCTTTTCGTTCTCACCTATCATCTCTCACTTGTGTCCTGCCAGCGTATACAGTTAGCGCAGGCGGGGTTACCATACCATTATCATCTATTAAAAGAAATGCAAAATTAACAATATGGAATTATAAACAAAATAAACAGAAATAAGAAAAAGAAATTAGAAGAGTTAATAAAATAGAAGAAACTAGAAGATTACAGTTAATACAATTTTTATATTTGTGTGAGGTTCAGCGTGTGGTGTGAGGTGATTTTTTTTTTTGTTAAGTTAGAATGGCAAACAAGCTGACGGCCCACCTGATGGAAAGTGGTAACCGTCGCCTATAGACATGAGCAGTAGCGTGGACATAACAGTGTGTACTGTTTCGTCCATGATACCCCCATGCATTGCTATTCCTGAGGAGTCAGGTGTTATTCCTCTGTACCTTGTAAATTCACTGCCAAGCCCCACTCTTTAAACCGAAACACAGCCATGCAAACACAACTGTTTAACGTAGAAACACGAATGGAACAGAGGTGGAGGTGAAAGGAGACTTTGTATAAAAGCAAACGACTTTTATACAAAGTCTCTCTCAAAGATTTTAAATATGTTTACATGTTACTATTAATAATACAGACATCTAATGATTTTAATACGTATAATAAAGTGTGAATGTGTGTATGTTTGAAGTGTTGGTATTAATGTGTATACTATTTTTTTTTTTATTAAAACTATTGCGTCTAATAGACAATATGATTAGTTAATTTCTAAAATTAAACATAAAACGATTTATGAGCTCGATAACAAATATAATCTGTGCATGGGCCGAGTGTTGAACCCAAAATAAGAATAGACTATGGTGCAGGCTGCACGCAGTTGGCGGGAAAACGCACAGAGCATCTGTAGAGACGTTTAAAAACAGAACTAGTTTTTTTTTTTTTATAAATAAGATTTTTTTAAGTAAACTTTTATAATTTTACTTCTCATTCGAAATGCAATTTCGTCTAAGAATATATAATAATGGAATCGTACACGCGCCTGTGTTAACGGTATATAAAATAGAAAACTAGGGCGTCCATTTACACAATATAAGTTTAAAGCTGATTTGGCAGCAGCATGAACAAAATAAATTCTTATTATGTTAAATATTTGAAGTTTAATTAGTTTTAAATAAATGTAGTTATGTAGTTACAGTCAAATGTGCTATTCTTGGATATCATGTAAATTAAAAAAATAAACTACAAAATTGCACATTTTTTATGTATTCACACTGTTATCATTTATACCTTTAAACCCAATATTTATTTATTTATTTATTTTTTTAGTACAAATATGTGTACATGGCGGACTTAATGAAAAGCATTCTCTCCCAGTCAACCATAGTGTCAGAATATATAACTAATTATTGATATACATACGTACTAAACGCGCATATATAAACGAATAAATATATATAAATAACAAATATACTTACACATATATGACAATACTATATTATACACGAAATTGAGAATAATATAAAGTACTTACTGCTCGGATAAAAATAAAAAGTGTGCGTTAACGCTTTTTTTGAAAGACGGTTTATTTGTAGTCTCTTAATGGCATAGCGTTAGTCGTGAAGAATGTAGAAGAAAAGAGTTTGTAGTTACCAGTACGGTGAAATGTGAGTATTATTGGAACGAAGGTTACGTTCGTGAGTTTCAAAAAAAATGGAAACTACAAGTAGTTGCACATTTTTTAGTGTAGGGTTCAAAGAGTTGTTAACGTTTCTGCGTTGACGAATGGAAACCTTGACAATATTGTAGATTAATCCGAAATATTTTGTATAAGAATTGGTAGATAAAGAATATTTAATTGAAACTAAATAAAGTTATGAATGTTTACGAATTGAAATTAAAATTTAAAACAAATACGTGAATATTTGCTATTAAAAAAAATATCTGAGACCTTATTAAAAACACTAGTATACTTTTAAGAAATGAATTTTGACAGTTAACGTACTGTATTAAAAAATCTAATAAAACTAGAACTTTGCTGTATATTAGATCTCCCAGTACCTAGTTCTAAAATCCCGGGGGGAAAGGGATTGTTAGTAATGGAGACTGAGAAACCAGGTCGACCTCCTCGCGGTTCTCCCTGGAAACTATCATGGTTATTTCCTGATGAATTCATCATGATGGGCTAACTGGCCTGTTTTCATTCTCATCTGTCACCCTTTACTGGTGCTCCGCCAGCGTATCCCGTTAGCGCAGGCGGGTTTACCATACCATTTTCACCCATCAAAAAAAAAAAGTTTTAAAATCCCTTGTGCCCTAGTGCGACTCCACAGCACCCCTGTTATTTCTAGTCAAAGTAGAGCGAATAAAACGCACCCAGTTTGTGACCGCCAGCAAACAAAACCAACGTACCTGCGCGCTAATTAAAAAGAAAACAAATTAATAACAAAACTAGATAATTAAAAAGTGTTACGAAAAAATAATTCGATTAAAAATATATTAATTTCTTAAATTACTGTTACAGATAGCCAGTGTTTTAACAAAATAAAATAGGAATATAATTAAAAAAAAAACAAACTGTCAAAACTACACAGTACGTTGTTTGTGATTTAAAAAATCAAAAATCAATCAAGCCTGATTGATCAAGTGCCCTATTCTTCACTTGTGTGAGTGCGTTTTAATTTATTGGAGTGAAATGCGCGTGTGTTTTAAAAATATGATCCGTTAGTGTTGCCAGAACGAAAAATAATATTGAGTCTATGAATAATATTGAGTCTTTGTATTTACTAAATCTTTTGTGTTTAATTTCACGGGCAGATGTAATTTAAATGTCTTAGAACCTCAACATTAATGGTTTGCAACACATTAGAGAAAGCATGCATGTCACGGTGTTCTGTGATGTCTACGTTGTTGTTCATGTGTATAGGCGATGGTTACCACTTCCCATACGGCGAGCCGTCAGCTAGTTTGCCATACTAAGTTGTTTAAAAGACTCCTTTTAAGTTTAAAATACTTACACAACACATTTTACATACTCACTTCACCTCACATTTCTAAGAAATCAGACGTATGAAAGTACCAGGGAGGCATGATAGGTGAGGATGAAGTCAAGATCAGTTAGCTAGCCAATTGTGGCGAATTCGACATAAACAAACCAGGACGTTTTCCAGGAAGAACCGCGTTGAGGGCAATCAGATAGGGTATATTGCTAGTAATGGGGCTATTTGGCCCCTTTTTTTTTATAATGGATGATAATGGAATGGTAACCCTAGGTAATGGTAACGCTGGCGAGGTACCAGGGAAACATGATAGGTGAGGATGTAAAGGCAGGTCAGTTAGCCTATCGTAATGAATACACCTGGAATTCAGCACGATGGTTTCCACACCACAGGGAGGTTGACCTGATAAAATATATTGCTAGCAATGAGACTGGTAGCCTGCATTAATAACAATCCCTTTCCCCCTCTGTTAGGCCCCATTCAACATTAACAATTCCTTTTAACTCCCAGAATTGCCTAGTATCCATCTTAGGATGCGCAAAGACATATCTAAATGTTCAGAATAGAGCTGGTCCCCATTTCTCTAAAGCTATCTTTCAAATTAATTTCATTTTGATATTATAGCGAAATCTTTATTGTAAGTACCAATATGATTTTTTTTATGGGTGAAAATGGTATGGTACCCCGCCTG